TTGAGCCATGCAAACGAGATCAGATAGTAAAAATAAAAGTAAGCCTACCGTTATAGGATCGACCGGCAGACACAGAGGTAATTTAACCTTTTATTGATTGTCATACCGATCCGGAACAACAAAAAACAACATAAAATGAAGCTATGTATAATAGTTTGGCCAGCATATCTTAAAATATGCAAACCAACTGCTGTTCGTTATATAAGAAGGTTTCAACTGAATATTATAAGATCCCCGTGCGTAGAACGGGTACACAGCTAGTTTATATAAATAAATTTCCATATACTTATCATAACTACTAACCAATTTATCTAAATAACAAGAATTTATTCTTTTTACTAACATCAGCTTGACCGTTTATTTTTAACCACTCAAGGGTTTCCCCAATTTTTCACGACAGCTTCCTCTGGCGAGGGATTAGCCACGGCCCAGTGTGACGTCTCCCTTAGCCCATTGGAAGACTTACATACCGGAATCTACGTTTACAAAAAAAAAAAACTAGATAAGTAACATAAAAAAAACTCCAAAATCACAAGTTATCAATTAACCAATTTAAAACAAGAAAACCCGATACGGCAGCACAGTGTCAAACAACTCTCCCAACCCAGCAACCACCCCGGTTCCATCATGTGGGACCCAACGACTCGGTCCCCCGGGGACTCTAAGAAAAGAAAGAAAGGAGAACCTGCACACCCAGTGCAATGACGGATTGGAGAACCTACACCTCCACCTGGAAAAGAAAGAAGAAACTACACACCCAGGCAGGTTTATCACTCAGTTACCGCTCGGACCGCAGAATGCTGCTTAGCTGGAGGGAAGTACTTCCAAGACTCGGACAGCAAAGACTGGGAGGATGAAGTGATCGACCTAATATACGTTCAATCACTAGATGAGAGTGAAGGGCCAATAGCCGGACTGGAAAAAGAAAAGAGAAACTCCTCGCGTAAGAGAGGAAGAATGCGAATTCACCATCGCATCGCTACGCTCCTTACACCAACGCACCACCTGGACAAAGAAAGAGAACACCTCGCGTAAGAGAGGAAGAATGCGAATTCACCATCGCATCGCTACGCTCCTTACACCAACGCACCACCTGGACAAACAGTTCTCTGATCAGAACGTGGAACTCAACCAACTTCTTATGATCATGGACGAGTGTTTGAGAAAAGAAGAGAAATATGGACACGGAGAACAGACGCACCACCAAGCGCCCATGGAACCTGAGAAAAGAACAACTACGGGGAGTTCAATGAGACCCAAGTTCCACCAGAGGACAAGGGAGGTCGGGGGGTCGGGGTGAGTCGCGACACCGGCTCCAAAAAAACAAAACAAGTGTGAAGTCGCAACGGACATAAATTAGCCTGACCCAAATTAAAAATAAACGCAAGCTATATAAAAAAAAAAAAAAAAAAACCATCCACAAATTAACAAGAATTTACACAAATAAATAGCTTTAGCCCCAGTTTCACTTTCGAATATTCAGCATTCAATTCACAATCTAAAAACAAAAATAAAAATCCCTAATTAAATCCCCACCTAAGTCAGTAAAAATCCCCATTCCATAAAAAAAAATTAAATTCCCTTTATCCCACAAAAATCAAAACAAATCCCTATGGAGGGATAAAACCCGTTTCATCCCTGCCACAGTTTGAAAAATCCCAATGCTGGGAAAATCCCGATACGGGGACAAAATACCGCCAATTACAACACTTTTCCAGATACAACTTTTTACTCAGTAATTTAAAAAAAAAACAAATACAAAACGCATGACCCCATTGCCTACTCAGTCAAGGACTAAATAATGGAAACCAGGCAATCTTTCATCGGCGCATCACATAAAAACAATTAATTCTCGCTTTACCCTTCTCAGTTTTTCAAAGTAATTAACCAAAAATTTTCAAAGATTATCATTAATCCATCTTTCCCTAATCAATAGATAGTGCAGGCCTACATCAAATAATTTATTTCCCCAAATTATTTTACGATTACACAATATCACTGGTAAGATTCCAGGAAATTTTCTAAGTCCAATTATAATAAAGTACAAAATCCAGTTCTTATTTTTATAATACTTAAAGCTATCAGAACTGTCAAGTGAGTTGGGCCCTTTGACCAGATCAATGGAGTAAGCCAGTAATGCTGCCAATACATTGAGCAAAAACAAACTTTCAGTACACAACTTTTACCAATAAATTAAAAATGTTCAAACATTTTAACTCCATTAAGTCTAATTAATTTACAATCAATTCTGGTTATTAGCTCTTCCATTAACGCCCAGGCTTTACCATCCAACTCACTTTCAAGTTCAATCCACTTAACTTAACCACAGACTAAGCCTAGGTTAGTAAATTACCACTAGCCTAAATGCATGTTAGTAAGCCAATCTCAAATGTTTCACAACGATTTGTTTTTCTCCCATTTTCTCCGGCTAATTATTTACCAACAGTAGGCCTAACACCATAATATTCCATTAATGATTCATAATATTCACGTCAACAACGTAATTCCGTTTTTCAATCACTTCAACGACAAGCGGTATTTCCCCACAACGATTAAAAATAATCCCCCATTTATCCCACTCAAGCTATAAAAATTCCCTTATCCGGGATAAAATCCCGCGGATGGAACTGACAACCTGACAGCAAGCCAACCCGGCGGCCATCTTGAGCTCACACAGAACGCATCCACTTTTAATTTTACAAGTTCAAAAACATTTTAATTTCTGAAATTTTGCTTCCCATCCTCCCACAATAATTATTTCTTTATTCCCTTTCTTTCTTACTCCTTATACTAGCAGCTTTTAATAAAGTATCTATTACCAATTGTTCACCAACAACCAAACAAAATATTCCAATATGGCGTCTTCATTCACAACGCAACATACAACGCACGACAGCTCTGACAAGACAACAGCAGAGTGCAACACTGTGGGAGTGGGAGGGGGAAGAGACCCAATGCATCCTAGATCACGTGTACAATGGCGAAATAAGTTTACGAACAAAATATTCTATTTACTTCAAAATTACCTAATAAATCGAAAAATAGCTCTTTCTTCACAAAAATTTCACGAAAATGATTCTTATTTTACTTTTAATCGATTTAAACATATTTTATTCCAGAAACAGCCAAACTTTAAATTTTGAACATTATTATGAGTAAAATAATTTGATCAAGCAAATCCCTAATTTCACTTACCTACCTTTAGGTTGACATTGTCGCAGTCAACCCCACACCTGACACCAGTTGTCACAGCGGCCCTCTGTAGTCTTCGTAGCGGTTGGGAGCAGGAAGAACGAACATTAAAACAAGCGAATAGGGATCAACTAATTTTATTAATTATCGAATAATGAATAATGACTTTACATAACTACAAACACGATGATACAAGAAAATACAACTAACACTTTGTACTCGCGACTAACAGAATATTAAATGATTTTAACACTGAATTTAGAACGTACACGGACTCATAGAAAGAGTAAGAGAAAGAAAGGGCGCGAGACCGCGCGCGGCGGACCTTACCGTCATTCGCTACATTCCGGCGCGATCTAAAGCTTCAGCATCGCCCAAGCGGAAGCGTCAGCGTGGTCACATGACCATCGTCAGCCAATCAGCGCACGCTGAGCGCTCAGCCCATAATTCAACGCGTGGACAGTTGCTTGACAGGTGCTGCAGCCAAACGATTACAACTGTCATTAATGAAACTAACTGAAGCGAGGAACCGAGTCTAGAAGTGTAACATTGTTTATCGCGGCACACGTGCATGCAGATTCAGCACATTCCAAGGCATATCCGGCCAGGCCACGACGTCTGGTTAGGATTATTGTAGGGTTACAAAGTAATGAAATGAATTGGAATATGAGTTTTAAGGTTCACTTGGAGACTTATGTGAAGTTAAATAAAATTCAATATTGCTAAATACGGTTGACACATCAACCTAGCAAATATTCGGTGATAGCCAGCGGGCCAGGTTTAGGGAGTAAGGCCAATCAGCTTAAGCTCAAAGTTAACAAATTACAACCAAATGAGGCAAATATGCCAGGCCGTCACAAAGTAAAGAAAGGCAATAAACTCCAATTTCTATAGGCTAGGCTCTGTAACACAAAAAAGTATTTTTAAATAATCGTTTTACAGTTTAAGTGGTCTTAATTGTTGATATAAGACATCTATAAATGAATCTATATAAAAGAAATAAAATGAGCTTTTAAAATATAGTTTGGTTGTATGTCCTTTGAACTTAATGAAATTTACATATAAGATGCTTAAAAATAATGCAATATTTAAAAATAAGTACTAAATATGATGGGACACCCAACTGTTTGATGCTGTTGTTGTAATGTTAGGTTTATAATGTCAACAAATTAAATAAAATCTAGGAATAATTTGTTTTCCAAGTAATGTTAAATACAATACTGACATTTCTTGTTTAAATGTTTGTTCAATAAAAATGTTGTTGCAATTAATTTTACATTTACTTAATGTGCGTGGAATAAAAAGTAACGTCTTTGGGAAAGTAGCTAAAATTGTAGTTGTAGCTACATTTCATTGTAGCTGTAGTTGTAGCTAGCTACTTTTTCGGAACTGTAGCTGTAGCTGTAGCTAAGCTACTTTTTTGGAAATGTAGCAGTAGGTGTAGCTAGCTACATTTTAAAAGTAGCTTCCCCAACACTGTTGAAAATCAATACTTTACAATGCGACACGATTTTGGCACAAGACCCAAAGGCCAACATTTTTTACCTGACCCAACCCGACGGAAGTAAAAAAGTCAGGATCACAGACCCATGAAAATGTAAGATAACCACAAGCTCATCGATAATCTTGGGACAATGGTAACCTTTTTTGCCTGTTGAACCATGTACATATTGGCCTGTATACTAGAGGGCCAGGAAAATCTATCAACTGGTTTGACATTTTTACGTTTATATCTCAATGACAAAAGAAGCTTCACCTAGCTATAAACTATATCGTTGCAATAGCACTGTGCGTTTTTGTGTGTGCAGATTGCATTATGAGATCACCGGAGGCAATGTTAGAGGAAGATTTTCTCTGACAACTCAGAATGGCCGAGGACTGATCACCGTTGCTCAACCTCTAGACTACAAGCAGGAGAAACGATTCATTCTTACTGTGAGTGAATGCATTAGTAGATGAACAATTCATTTGTTTCATAGACTTCCATAAATTGCCATTACAATTTTGTTAAAGCTAACTGTTAAAGATTTTTCTGCCTCCAAATAAATCACCTCTTTCATGTAAAATCTCAGCTTTTTAAAGCTTTTAAATCCTGGACGTAGAATGGTGTTTTGTCACCCTATTATTCATATCCCATCCCAAAAATTAAAATGGGCCTTACAGTTTTGCCTTGTTTTAATGTAGATAACTGAAATTTATAGTGTTGTCCAGTTTCAAGAACTTAATTGTAAATAAATTTGAAGATAATCAATAGTTTTTCTTTAATCAAGTTTATACTGGTTTATATATTCAGGATACTTAATACTGTAATGGTTTAAATAAAATGTGATTGTTAGTACTTCTACTTGTTTATACACTATAATACTCTCTACTGTTAGTAATAAAATAAATTTAATATGCAGAAATAATCTACGTTTATCCACAAATAGACTGAAAACATAAGATTTTTCAGTATAGACAGCTGTTTTAACTGTTGTTTTGTGACTGCAGGTGCGTGCGACTGACTCTGGAGGCAGGTTTGACACGGCTACAGTCTATGTGAATGTGTCTGATGCAAACAACTTTGCCCCGGTGTTTGACAACGCTCCCTACACAGCCTCGGTGTTTGAGGACGCTCCTGTCGGGTCTACTGTTCTTATTGTAGCTGCTTCGGACGGAGATGTAGGACAGAATGCTCAGGTAACACTTGACCAATAATTGCAGGCTATGTGATGGATACAGAGGCCAATTACTTATTGGTTACTAGTTACTATACATTCAAATCAATTCCTTTTAAATGAAGGAGTATGTTTTAAGGTGAATTGGTAGCTTAGTCGGAGATTTGAATCCTTGCCAGCGATGTCAAGGGTTCACGTCTTAGTGCCTACCACTAAATTTGATCAGTTCAGTTCACTGTTGTACTGTACAGACTCACCCCTTCCTTTGCTGGATGTGTTTCTAGCACATACTCAAGGCCTATCTAGACAGCAAATGTTAGATTAAAGGCCGCCAACCTCTTGGGAAAATTAAAAGGTAAAGCAATGAGACAAAGCAGTTGAGGAGCTGTTTGCAAAGAGATAAAGCCCAACTAGCTTATAGAGTTAAAGGACTTTTACATAGACAAATAATGGTCAATAGTAATATTTTTTCCTGATTAGCTCTTGCTAAGTAAAACTTAAGCTTGTGTAAAGAGTTGCTGTAGGCCTTATTGATTAAATACCCAATTGATATCAACAGCCCAAGGTAAATCGTTAATTTCTATCTAAATATAATATTTTTACATCCAGAGTCTGTTACTTAACTCTACTGGTTAGTTATTGATAGAGATTGAATATTCCTTTGTGTCTATCCACAGATCACCTACCTGCTGTCGAGTACGGGAGATAATACAGACTTCACCATCAACTCCCAGACAGGAGCCATCACAACAACCAAGGCACTCGACCGAGAGACGCAGAGCGGCTACTTGCTGACCGTGACGGCCCGAGACAACGGTAATCCTCCCTTGAGTGATTCTACCGATGTGGAAATATCTGTTGCTGATGTCAACGACAACGTGCCCAAGTTCCTCAAGCCTGCGTATAGCGGCAGTGTGTCAGAGGACGCTTTGGTCGGAACGAGTGTCTTGCAGGTATAGTACAGTACTATGTTTTGTGGTAGTTCATTGTTATCCTACTTTCACATTTTAGACCCCTAGAGGCTCTAGCCTGAAATTGTTTACACGTTACTTCATGCTAGGTCTAGTGTGCCACGGCTTTATAAGCTTTCAGGGCAGAGCCCTAGGAGAGTATTGAAATAAAATATGACTATCTCCATTAAGCATGTGGTTATAATGGCTCTAAATCAGCTCAGTTGGTCAAGAAATTTGCACATTGACAATTCCAAAAATTCATATCTATAATATTAGTCCTTCCATCCAAGGCATTAGCTTGATCAGGAATGCACTAAAATTATCAATACGTTACTCCGTTTCCCAGACATTATTTTTGGGGGAAAAAACACGATACTTTTTAAAATTTGGAAAAAGTAACGTCAATATTTTGATGAAATAAAATAAAATTATCCTATTCACACACTACCACAACAATTTAGTATTTGACAGTTCTCATTGTGTATCACAACTTTTTGTTGCTGCTTTGTTCCAGCTGTTATCATAAATTCAAACAAAAGTTTATAGTGCTGCACCCTGTTGGTAAACCTTGTAACTTTACAATGCTACTAGCTGTACCCGCGGGCTTTGCCCCGTTTAACTTCATAAGTATTCATTTGCATGGCTCAATCACGTCCTGGTTGAAGTTCGTTTGCTACGATCACTCACCTTTAGGTTGGAGCTTGTTCGCTGCGCTCACTTGCCTTCAGGTTAGCTCCTTCGCTACGCTAACTCGCCTCCAGGTTGAAGTTGGTTCGCTACGCTCACTCACCTTTTGGTTGCAAATTAGCTGTTGTCATAAATTTAAAAAAATAATAGTGCTGCACCCTGTTGTTAATCCTTGTAACTTTAATGCTATTGAACATCATAGAACAGAACCAACTTGTTTAATTGAAACAGCTGTTAAGATTAATTAATTCCTTTTAAATATGAAAAATCATAAGGTTAACATGGGAAACTCCAGAGCCACTGGTGCGGAGTTCGAAAGCCCGATCGGAATAAAAACTACTTAGTTTTCCTATTTAATGCCCAAAGAATCGGTGTATCGAATTTCAGCCTCCTAGGTAAATGGGAAGTGGGAGAATTAATTAGTGATGAGTGAGTGAGTGAGTGAATGAGTCAGTGAGGGCTTTGCCTTTTATAAGTATAGATACCAACATATTCTGGGTGCATTGATACACACATCTTTTCTCTAAATTCAACACCTCTTTTTTGTTATGTATATTTCTTTTCAGTAACATATCTTTTGTGTTGTCTTGACCTTTTTCTTTGGTTTTCATCTTAACTTTTTCTACTAATTTCTAATTTGTTCAATTTCTCTCTAGCGCTAGATTTGTGCCTGTTTTCCTTCATCCATTCTTTTTACCCTCATACACCCTCCTTTTAGAAGAGGTAATAGTTTTTTACTTATAAATCTTCTCAGAATGGATTCATTGCATTTGAGAACAAAAGAACTAATTTATCTGAAAACAAAAGTAAATATTGATCAAAATAATTGTTTGAACCTATGATTTTAAAAAGTAGAGACAGTCTAATAAACACTGTGTTGTTCCATAGGTGACTGCAGTGGACGACGACACAGGATTGAATGGGCGAGTACGATATGCACTGGGAGGATCCGGCAGTGTGGAGGCATTTGTAATCGATCCAATCAGTGGAGTCATCCGCACAGCTAAGACACTGGACAGAGAAAGCATTGCACAGTACGAGCTAGAGGTGCTGGCTATAGACCGGGGCACTCCCCAGCTGTCAGGCTCTGTAAGTGTGATGCTCAAACCTAGACATTTAGAATCTCAAATCCAAGTCCAATTTTTATGAAGATGAATCAACTTTAAAATGAAAATCAATCTGAACTAGTATTTACTTAATTTACAATCAAATTTAATATTTTTTTCCAAAAACTGCATGGAAATGACCACATTGCCATACCTGTCTGTGAACAGTACTCAAAACAGTTAATTTACGCTCTAGAGCAGGAATAACCATTCCTGCTTGCTTAATCAGCTGATTTCATAGTTGGCGTTTCTACACCAACCACAGCCGGTGATCCGGTATGTTTAACAACTGGTAAGCAAATAACATAAAGCAAACATAACCTAAATGACTTTTTGTATACTCCTCCGTAATATGAATCGTCAAATTAATAGAAATACCCGAATGCCATAGGTAACAATTTAGCATATGCATTTGCAACATTATGATAATTTCATTCTATAGTTTGGATAGAAATGATTTTGTACTAGTTGCTGTACCTGCGCAAGCAAGGGAGAGGACACTGAAGAGAAAAATTTGATCTGTAATGCTGTTGTATAAAGTAGTTGCACATCCGTCTTTGGTTTCAGAGACGAAATTCAATTGGACCTCTTAGTTTTAAAATATATATTTCATTATAGCTAGGCTAACTTATAAGGCTATCCAGTATAAATTATGGGGTCCAGATGCATTTATGAAAATACCGTACTCTTACGATTTAATTTTTAAATTATACGCTTACTTAAAAATTTATTTTAATTAAAAACTTAGGCCTACATATAAAGTCACGCTTAAAACCACTAGATAGGTCCACGAATATGCCAAATGTAGTAGCCTATTGTTTCTATTTCTATTAACCAATCCAAAAACTGATTCTAAAAATGAAACAGCTTGAGTGAGATAATATTTAAAACTATCCCTAGTGTTATCAAGTAACTCTGGTAGCTGATTTGATATTATGTGGCAGGTGATGGTGACTATTCGTCTGGAGGATGTCAATGACTCTCCGCCAGCTTTTGAGAGTGACAAGCTGACATTATACATTGCAGAGAACTCTCCTGTCGGCTCCACTGTGGGCGAACTCTACGCCAAGGATCCTGACGAGGGACAGAATGCTTTTGTCCAGTATTCCATCATTGGTATGTCAGCATTGCAATAGCTATCCTTACTGACAACAATGATGGATTAGCCTTTGGGTTGTCTGGATGAAGATTTTTGTTAGCTGAGTTGCTGTTGTAACAGTTGCGGTATAAATCAGCTACAGCTGTTTAGCGCTTTCATCGAACAAAACATTTTAACACGTTCGATGCGGCCCAACAATGGCAGGCGTAGCCTTAGGTGCGGCACAGCGTTGAACGGACCCGATTGACAGGCGATTGGCTTTCAAATTTCGGTCTGACGAATAAAAAGTCACGTGTGGTGATATACTGCATTACGATGAGAGTTTACGTAGTTCGTTAAAACACCCACAGATAGCAGCAATGCTTGGAACGTAGGCGGTCCGATTGTATTGCTAATTGGGGGGGAAAAGCCGGGACAACAAGTGGATTTCTAAGCTTGCCAAATGGGGATATCACTGAGAATACCAACCTACACCACAAGAAAAAACAAGTCGCACACTACACGCTAACGTGGTATAGGTCTGCCTTCAACTATCGCTTGGCTCGCATTGAGCAACAGAATAACATATTGATGCACTGCAGTGTGGGTCCGTACTGACCCGGCTGCGTGGAGGGTTACGATCGCCGTGGGTCAGTACTGACACACCTGCAGTGAACTTGTTAACCGTTTGCAGTTTGTACATCCTGGAATGTCTAACACATGAAGGTTGACACACCAAGGAGTGGAGGATTTGTAATTGTCTCTAATTGTTGACATTAAAAAGAATTAGAGGCTACTGATAATGTATAAGCGTTTCTTGTTTTTAAGTTCAAACCTGTAACTTACTGAAAGCATAAAATACCTGCAATAATAATTGCACACCTAGACTAACTTTCTTCCATTAAGTATTTAGCCTTATATCCCTAGACTCATAATAGTCATGAATTATGTACGTGTATGTATGGATGTGTATGTATGTTTTGGTTTGCTATTTCTTATTTCCAGTTCATTTTATTTTGGGTTATGTTAAAAAAACGTCAAACAAGGATATTTGCATTTGCCGAATTTAACTAAAGTCTGCACAGCCAATCAAAATCAAGCTGTTATTCTTCTCTCCTGGTTTAACCCTAAATCGGCAGCTTAAACGGCCTCACCCTGAGGTTTACCTTGAACCTAGAAACCGAGAAATTATTTTGGGAAAAGTGAATCTGAGGTTAAACTAGAGTTAAAACCACAAACAAAGTTAAACTAGATTTGGGGAAAGCGGCCCTAAGCCAGTCAAAGCGTCTCAACTGTATGATGTTCTTAGCTTACAGTGTTACTTAGCCTATATTGTGTGTGTGTGTGGGCAGGTGGAGAGGACTCTGACAGCTTCTCGCTGGTGCGACGACCAGGCTCCGACAAGGCTGAACTCCTCACAATGGTAGAACTGGACTACGAAAGTCCTCGGAAACGGTAACATATAGTGTAGAACTATTGATCCTCAATACTAATTTGGATTTTACTTAGTAAGTTTGTAAAAATGGTTTAAAGAAGGATATGCAAAATTTTTGTATAATAGGTTAGGAATATTTTTACACTTTTTTTAGCACTGTAGTGCTAGCAATTGTAGAAACTACAGAGTGTTTTATAATATTTGGTGATGCCAAAACAATTTTTCTTCAGTAGTTTCAAGTTAGTACTAATCTCACAATGTTCATTCCGCGTAGTATAACATGTTATCATTGTGTCTAGGTTTGTACTGGTAGTCAGAGCAGCTTCACCACCACTCCGGAGTGATGTCAATGTTGAAATACTAGTAACTGACGTCAATGACAACGCGCCTCGACTCAAGGACTTTCAGGTGCGTACTTTTTCATCATTTAAAAAGTTATATTCCTTTTCTTTCAAATGTATTTGATCCCTTTATATTTTAAACATTTGTAAAATGTTGATTCTAATGTTTACAGATAATCTTTAACAATTTCCGAGATTGTTTCCCCGCTGGTCCCTTTGGGAGGATTCCTGCTGTAGATGACGACGTTTCCGACAAGGTTTGTAGTTTCATACATCCGTAGTAATGCATAATATGTAATAAGTTTGACTGTTAAGTTTCTTAAAAAAAATTTAAATTAATGAGTAAAATTAATTTTTTTTAACAATTATGCTTGATAAAATATATTTGTCTGCATTATTTAGCCCGTATAAATGATGTTAAGTACTAGCAAGCTATATTTATGTTATTCTAATGTAACCATTCTGTTGCTGCAGCTGTTGTATCGCATCTTGTCAGGCAACAACGCCAACCTAGTGTCACTGAATGACTCCACGGGACAACTGAGTCTCTCGCCCCAACTCAACACTAATGTACCCAAACTGGCCAGCATGGAGGTGTCTGTCTCAGGTAGGTGTCCGTTATAGTCAGAGGGGTTGGGTTCCAAAGTTTTGATAACATTTCTGGAAGAATATATCCTGATTTTCAAGTGGGATTAAATTTAACTATGATTCCAACTGTCATCGATTTTGAAGCGGACACGGATGATGTCTCCTTGATCGCAGGTTTCCTCAAATTTGTTGTGATCTTAGCTGTAGACCTACTCAGTTTTGTTTGCGCTATCACGGAAGATGTTCACATATGTCCTGCTATCAAGTGAAAAATTCATGATTTTGCTGCTGTAATCAGAGGATAGCCTTTAAAAACGACAATAACAAATTGCAGTCATGATGGCACAGAAGAGTGAGATTAAGAATGAGTTGAACATCGGTTGTTTTTTGTTATTATTGCCATTTACAAGAATTTTCACTCAAAATTTCCACTTAAAGAAAAAATGTGTCTTGTCTGAATTGTTTGTCCTGAAAATCAGGAAATAAATAAGAATTCAGTCCTAAACTAAATAAAATTGCAATCCTACCATCTCTAGATTACAGCGTTAGTTACGCAGCACAGCAATAGTCTTGTGCCATATGGCGATGTTTTGGTCAGGCATTTAAGACAAACATTGATATTATTTCAATAACACGACTGAATTTGGCAAACTATATTCACTGCTAGTAAACTAAATTTTAAATGAAATACTTAATTTATGATTTTTTTCACAATGCCCTTTATATCCAATAACATTTTTTAACAGTTATATTTCTAAATAAATATACTTGTATCTGTAACGTTTCTTGTGTGTAAACTAAAATCCAACTCACACCGATGTTTCAGATGGTGTAAATGAAGTGAAGGCAATGATGCAGCTCTCTGTGAGATTGGTAACAGATGAGATGTTGTTCAGTTCAGTCACTGTGAGGTTGGCGGACATGACTGAACAAGCATTTCTGTCTCCTCTGCTCGGCTTCTTTCTGGAAGGATTGGCTGCTATCATACCATGCCCCAAAGAAAACGTCTTTATATTCAGTGTGCAGGTATGATTTATGATTAATATCTGCTTGCTTCGTTGTTGAAATTGGAATTTTTTTATATAGATTTGGACACTGAAACAAGTGAAACACAACCGAATACAAAGCAAAATTTGTGTTTGTTTATAATAGACATGCTTATATCAAATTTTAATTTTTATTATATTCTGTAAAGAAAACAATTCCTATAATGTGAAATCCCCAACAGTATTTTTCCTCAGTTTATGGATTAAGATTTATGGGAAGCAATATTTCAAACAAGATTTTATCTTATCAATTTAAAACATATGTAACCTACCACACAGGATGACACTGATGTGAACGCTCGTATCCTCAATGTGAGCTTCTCAGCCAAGCAGCCTGATGGTCAGTTCTATTCTCCACAGTTTCTGCAGGAAAGAGTTTACCTCAACAGAGCTGTCCTTGCAAGGATTGCCACTGTACAGGTCAGTGCTTGTTTCTTTTGTCTTTTGTTACTATTTATTTGTTGCCTTCATTTGCTCTAATTGCACATGCAACCTACTTCAGGTATAGTAAAATCAGCCAACTAACATCAATAAATATTTTTGTTAATAAAACCTTTTCTTAGAATATTTTTACACTGGAAATCCCTTGTAGAAATAATAAATATTTATAAAGGCCATACAGATTTAAAATAAAATGTTTTGTTGTTTGTGTATTACTGTAATTGAATTTTGGGCATCAGTGTTAAAATTTATTCAAAGTTGAATTGTAAGGTACATGTGTGGGAGCTTAAAAGTCCAGCCAAGTTGAATCCAGTCTAAAGCTTGAGTGATCAGTAACCAAGTCAGAAAACCGGACTAAGCTTTATTTTTGTGAAATCATTGCTATTGCCGCCTATGTCTGAAATGGAATTGGTTTAATGAGTCGAACATAATTGATTGTGAGAACTAAAATTCACAATGTTGCCAAGACGATAATGATGTCCCAGCAATAGAAAGAGTTTTAATAATGTTTCCGTAATTGCAGAAACAGCTGGCTGGATTTAAATTCTCAGACTTGCAAACCTTAAACAAAATGTTACAAAAAACTCAATGGGAAACATAGAAAAAGTTTGACGAGATTCTCTATTTTACCAACATTAATTTTATAAAATAGCAACATTTTAGTAAAAAAGTAAACACTAGTTTACTGCAATTAGTTTACATTTTTTGAAGTAGAATTCTTGACAAGCTTTCCAATATTTGATAGGTTCTCCCTTTTGACGATAACCTGTGTGTACGTGAACCCTGCCTCAACTTTGAGAACTGCTTGACTGTACTCAAGTTTGGCAATGCGTCCGGTTTCATCAGTAGCGACTCTGTACTGTTTCGTCCCATATATCCAGTTACTACGTTTGCCTGCCAATGTCCAGCTGGTTTTACAGGTACGTTTGTTTACTTCAGACCATTAAGTTTTTAATTCAACTTAGTACTTTAGAATCACTTGTTATTTTTTTAGGAAATGATTACTTTAAGGGGTTTAAATACCTGATTATTGGTAATCATATATGATTGCGGTGGCAACTAGTTTCGGTTCAGATGGAACCATCAGCAGGTACCACAACAATGGTAACTTTGCACACGTTTACTAAACAAACATGTATGACTAATTCACTAGAATTTGAAACAAGACCAGAAGGAGTTTACATCTAGATAATACAGGTACAGATATTTTAACCACTTAATATTATATGCTGGTAATATGCTACCCACTTTGAAAAAGAAATTTAGGCCTAGTAATGTTTATACTTACTAGAGGTGTGCGGATATCCGAAAAATCGGGTTGGATTCGGTTCGGTTCGGATATCCGTATCCGAACCAGGCCCAAATTTGATATCCGACACTATCCGTTATATATCCGACTTTTTCGGATAGACAATATATTTTGACGTTTTGGACAGAAAACAAAATCTCCATAGCCACCATTAGTTTCCCAGGACAAAATTACAGCAATACGTTTCCATCGACCTAACAGCAAACGGCAAAGAAGCCGTATGATGCAATACTGATAACTAGTTTAGTCGTTATCGGCTGTTTTGCTTTACGATTAGATTCGTCTGGAACGAACAGACATAAAGCAGAAAAGAACTACCATGGTCAAATGAAAGTTTGTACTGTTTCAAAGTAGAAAAATCTAGCCTACTACTGTGATGTTACGTAAACAATAGATTTAATGTTTCCCGAAAAAAGTCAGAATAGAAACAATAGTAAGGCAACACAATAGAAGGGTGGGAGGGGTTGGGCAATGACCTCGAAAGGAGCGCGGGTAGTGAGTCAAGTAGGACCGGAGGGGGAAGGGGTGGGTAAGACCTTGAAGCTATATATAGACTTGCACTACTTCCCTAAACCTAAAGGACTGGCCGGCGAGTGGTATTCCAATCACAGGACAAGATACGTTGTTTTTTGGGTATTCATTGCCCGGTTTGACTTTGGATTGTCTTACTGTGTAGAAACTTTGAATAATAAAAAATAAAGTAAGAACTAACCACGATTATTTAGCATTGTTTGTGTACATATTAAATGATTAAACTAGAGGGACCATGGATATATACAAACTTTTGTCGTGATTTTAATTTCAACATCAAAATACAATATTGCACAATCGTGATATTTTAGGTCATTGACCTTTATTATGCATCCGGTATTGCTGTTTCAGAAGAGAAGCACGTTGATAAATTATAAATTGATATTCCCGTCGTTAAAAAGAATTATTTTTATAAACCTATAAAACAAAATCATAAAATCTTACATAAAGATAACAATAACGGAAATTGTAAAAAGGGTATAAAGATAACAACGTCGTTATTCTTTCTCTTTGTTCTTCTATTTCTTGGGTTTCCCTTCATCACGCATTCAACAAGTTGCCATGGTTACTAATCACCCATGTCGTTATCAGCTTTTGTGACATAGCACACAGCAGGGGGGTAAAACTTGACTAAAATCGGTTAATTTTTACCTATTATTTAATTACCAATAAATGTACTACTTTATTGGTATTTTGTACTGTATTAATAATCGGTCAAAATGGCCGATTTTTGTCAAATTTTACACCAAATTTATTGAAATTTCAAGGTGAATATTAATAAAACAATTATTACCAAATATTTGTATTCATTTAAAAGATTGATTTGTGGTATTGGGTTCCCCACTGAGTGCAGCCGAGCGGAACTAATGAGGGTCGGACCTTCTGGCTTATCAGACCCTCCCCTCCTCCGTGGTAACAGCTTGTAAACAAACTATTGCACAAGCGTGACTTGACATTGGGCTGCTTCAACTATAATTTTGTCAAATAAACTGTGATGTTTCAAAATCAAAAACAATAATTTGGGACCATACTGCTAACAATAATGGACTGCAATTATTGTTGAACATACAATCCATTTTTAACAAACTAAGATTATACGATTTTATAAAAATTATCTTGGTATTTTACTTGGGGTAATGAAGTTATGTAGGCTAGTGTAATTCTCGGTTCATCAAGGTTCTACTGAATTATGTTTGGCAGTGAATAAGTGTAGAATGCAATTTATAAATTCAGGGATACACACCTTTTACACAGTTATAAAGTCTAATTTAATTGTCCAACATCAAATCGTGAGCTAGAGCCCATCTTAGTGCATTAGTAATGTTTTCTAAACTTGGCAAACCCGCAAAATGCCACTTAAGGCCAATAATCCGTTCCAAAAACGTAAGGAAATACAATGTGAAAATAAACTTGAGATCGAACTCCTTGGCTTGTGAGAACCAGGAAACAAGATAAAACATAACCTCAAGTAAACAAGCCCAAACGTTTGACATCAGTCCTGCAGAGCTAAGGTGTTTGTGAAGATTTCGGCTGCTAGTGTACTTAATTCAAGCATCCAACTTTTGAAAATAAATGTTGTGAATTGTGATTTTCAAGAGAGAGAAAACTGTGGACTTAGCTAATTTGAAATTCTATAGTTCAAAATCGTCATTTAAGTTTATTTACACAGCTTTGCATTGTTTTATAGGTTTAAAATACATATGCAGCTTATTATTAACCACGCTGAACTATCCGAATCCGAAAATATCCGAATCCGAACCTCCCAATATCCGATCCGAATCCGAACCTCCCAATATCCGATCCGATCCGAGCCTCAACTATCCGATCCGAATCCGATCCGAAATGAAATTTCACTATCCGCACACCTCTAATACTTACTACTTACTGCCATGGGCACTTGTACCCAAGCTGGTACTTGGCCTCACCAACACGTTGTCGCCAGTTCTCTCGGTCGTCCAAATCTTCCTCTACTAGTCTAATTTTTTCCATATCTCTCCAGACTTGATCCCACCATCTGGCCTTCCTACTGGTCTCCTCCCCTCGATCTCCCCTTTGTACCTTTCTCAACAAGCATTACTCCTCAAGATATGGCCAACCCACCTTAGCCTTCTGCTTTTAGCCTCTCCTACAATATCGGGGTCTCGGAATGATTCTCTTAACTCTTTAGTAATGTTTATATGTGGAAAATTATAATTTTTAATCAATAAAATCTTAAATTAGTCCCCATCTATAAACTAGCTGCTTTGCTTGTGTTTTGCTGCTCATTGATTCTATTTTGATACAATACAGGGTGTTTTTAAAAGAATGCCGGGATTTTAAATGGTAACTGCTTGGATACTATTCTAGGTAACTAAACGTTTTATACGTCAAATTAAAGCTAAAATAACTAAGTTTTGTTTACCGTGCAGCAAGGGAGGAAACTTTGACCTTGGTATGCGTAAAACAGTTTCGGCGTGATAGGCCGCTATTGTGACTCATATACCTGACACCAGTCGCCAGTACGACGTTTACGGCGCAACAGAAGGCACAGATTGCAATCTGTGGTTCGCAGAGTTTATATCCATTGCTAAATTAAACTTAATTTAAATCTACTTGATGATAAAGAAACTTGGAGCTGGTTTAATGAGTTTCATTGCACCGAAGTGTTTTGAAAAGCCACCCGGCCAGCTAAAAACAAACGATGACATAGTCGATGAAATCCGACTTTTGCATCATAAGCCCGAAGAAATCGATTGCCTGACGATGTCTTCAGTTTAACGAACCTAAATTGGTTACTTTATGATGTTATCTATAAAAGATAGAGTCTTTGTGCCGAAAAGATTCAGTTAAGACATCAGATAAACATGCCGATCGCCCTAAGCGTACAGACTTTGCCAGTTTTACGCTCATATAAGATTGATGAAAGTCTGAATGTTATTAAATCATTCCGAATTGTATGAAAGATAGAGAAAAAACTTTATTCTTTTCCCTTCGATTTGACGTTTAAATCGTTTAATTATCTTGAATAGTCCCCGAGCAACGACCATTTGAAATCCCGGCATTCTTTTAAAAACACCCTGTATATGTAATTCTGTAATGGAGTTCTATCAGCATACCAGAGAAATTTAAAGTCCAGGGGCTGATAGATGCATAGATCTAAGATCACAAACATAACACTGGTGTTTCATCATATTAGGCCTATTAGATTGAAGTAACATTTCTGTTATTTGCACTATGGGTTGTTTAGTAAAATTTTTTTGTAATCTTACCTAACAAAACTAACTAACTGGGGGTATATAGAAATACATATTTTGTATGTTTGTACTGTGTATTAAACTTAGTTTTTTTGTGGTTACAGGAAGCAGAGAGCACTATTTGTGTGATACAGAAGTCAACCTGTGCTACTCCAACCCTTGCCAGAACCACGGCACATGCAGACGCAAAGAGGGTGGCTACACTTGCGTCTGTGTCTCAGGTTTCACTGGTGAGAAACTCAAACTTAAGTAAAACAACAACATAAACTATATAAAAACTTATGACAAAAAAAATTTACAAATACAGCTATTATATGAGTATAACCTGTTGAAAGCTGTGAATTATGCATAGCAAGGTAAGAGACAGCTTGGAACTAATCTTGGAGGTAAGCTTCTGTGGTCAAAGTAGACTGTCTTCGGGCAGTAACAGTTTTTTTTATTTTTGTTTGACAAATATACATTAGTAGTCAAAGTTTGGATTCTGTTGCACCAATCCATCTCCAACAAGTCAATTCGTAGATTATTATTCTCCCCAATTTAATTACACAGTCCCGAGCATCAAGATTTGACAAGTTTAAAACTACTGCGCTTGGGCCTTGGATATATATAATGTTTTTGTTTAGTGTAGTCGGCCGATAAGTTTGATCAATGACCAATGTTTTATAGATCTATCTCCCCCCCCCCCCCCAACAAAGAAAACATTGCCTTGGATAGAGGTTTAGAATCCTGTCCAGGTAACTCATGTGAAGTGTTAGTGATAAAGCTTGGTGGGGATACACAACTTAAAAAATGGATTTATTTAGTAGACAGCTTGGGTGAAAGTTGACTGTATGGGTTGATTCTTTGTGTGTTGCATCTTTGTTCAGAGATTTTGCTACTTCTTACCTTTCCTTTGTGTACCACTGTAAACTTATTGTCGTCTGTTAACTAGGGATCAACTGTGAGATAGACCTGTCATTAGACACTTGTCACCCCGGCATCTGCCACTCAGGCTCCACCTGCTCTCCGCTGGTCAAGGGAGGGTTTGTCTGTGATGACTGCGCTCCTAGTGGCACGTTCGAACACTACGATCGTCTCTGTCAGCTGAGAGGAAGGGGTTTTCCCAGAGAATCCTTTCTGACTTTTCCCGCTCTCCGACAACGCCACCGACTACACATTGCACTGAAGTGAGTATTTTTATTTTTGGTCTCTCATAAGTCGGGTAAAATTCAAGTTTGAGTACACACTGTGTTACTTCTCTAATTTATGATCTAGTGATACTTGGTCTCACCCATAAGCCAATTCCATTGTCCGTCTATAATGTCTTTTTGAGGTTTTGTTCCATTAGATTTCCTCTCCATATCAACTCTAAAAACTATTCAAATTATCCAAAAAAGGTTACTAAAATAATTTACAAAATTATTGTTACACCTTTAGTAGTGGTTTCAGTTTTTTACAAATCAATAATAAAATTTCTAACTTACTTACTCCCAGGACCATATCTAAGTTATTTGGCCGCACCAACAAAGCACATTTACCAGTCTCGGTTCTTCAGTTGTATCATAGTATTTGTAACTGTGATATTTAAAGTAGTTGGATGCATCCACTTACCCTTGTTGTGTTGTAGGTTTGCCACCCTGGAGGACAGTGGGCTTCTGCTGTACAACGGAAGGTACAATGAGCGTCATGACTTCATCGCTCTAGAGGTAACAGATGAGGGGCGAGGGGTGATGTTCTCCTTCTCCCTGGGGTCAGACGTGACGAGGGTCGTGGCCAGAGCTAAGACTGCAGTCAACGACGGCCATTGGCACACGGTCACTGTCGACTACTTCAACAAGGTACCTCACTTCATTTCACTTGTGGATTGACGTAAAGATTGTTGTGCAGTTTAAAGCCAGGTTTACCTAGGTGTAGAGCGCGGGATGCGGAGAGTGGATTCCTCTTGTCTTAAGTAATTAAATGATACCGTTTTTATAGAAGCTGAGGGGAATGCTATGTTAATTGCTTCTCTGCGTTCAGTGCTACGCTTCCACGCCTAGGAAATCCTTGTTTAAGAATGTGTGCTATATAATAATCATCTTTTTTAGCATTCAAATTACAACTGTGTTATGCCAGAAAAAATGTTTCACCTACATTACTGATAAACACCCCTGATGTAGCAAACCTGCATAAAGAGCAAGCTTTCAGTTTTTTTAAATTCAATTTTCATAAAAGGTTTGTAACTTAAAGAAATTTACAGTAAGATAGAACCACAACTGTCTGCGGTGCACCGAAAAAGCTGGTATGGTACGGTTCTGGCCAAACTAATACCATCGGTTCAGTACAGCATTTTCCCCAGGATAAATTCAGTTGGGTTCAGCCTGAAATAATTAATTAATTAAGATTTTGAATAAATCAATTGGGTACCAATAGTCATAGAACAATAATGTAACACACCGAATTGTTTAGTGATTTAATTAACCCGAGGATTCCCACTTAGCAATTTCAAAATGATTATTCTTGTTTTATGATGGAATAACCTAACATGTATATTTGAATGAACTATGTTTTATTTTAACTTCTTTTACTCTTTTTCAATATTTGATTATCTTTATATTCATAAGTCAGTACATACTCACTGATGTGTTGTCACAGAGTGCCACGGTGAGTCTGGATGATTGTGACACAACTTTGACCATCGGACACGGAGAGCAACTTGGTCTGGCGTGCGCCAACTCGTCCACTCAAATGCTGGAAAGCAGGTAATGTCGATCTTACAGAATGGTTGGTCAGCAAGGTATTGTCTCAATGGAACACCACCGGGTCCCATGTTACCCAAACTACAAAGGACATATTTTAAATGTTTCCCTATTTATTTATACACATTAAAGAGATAATAACAACAGCTTACTATTAAACAAGGATTTTTGTTATTAATATTTTCAGCGTTTCCATTGAAGTGTCTAATACACAGGCAAACTTACCCTAACTTTACAGTGTGCGAAACCAATTATTGATCATCTTTAGTTTCTAACGCAGAAACAATAATAGTATGAATAATTTTACCAAAGAAGAAAGTACCAACCTGGTAGTGTTTTGAAGTACGAAAACTTAGATTAGATATTTAAGGTTCAATAGAGTAAACGTTATCTAACTGACTATTCATTCTTCTCTGTAACAGATGTGCTGTTCTGACTGAGACCTGCCACAGGTTCCTTGATCTGACAGGTCCGCTGCAGATAGGGGGTCTGCCTGCTCTTCCTGCGTCCACTACATTCCAGGTTTGTGTTTTAGAACACTCAAAAGCGGCTATACTCATTAAAACAGTATTCAAGACCATGCCATGCTGACATGACATGTTTTGTGCTCATGGTTGTTTATTGATATATGTTACACCAACTAGGCCTTTTTCTTAGAAATGGAGTAAATAATTATATAAATTAGTAAGTAATGATCGATTTCGTTCAGACACTTCTGTCATCATCAATCATCGACCCAAAAGGCGAATGACAATAATCTAGATGTTGTCTCTTATATTATATTCGATACCGGACATTCCATGTACTAAGTCTCTAAAAGTCAATATTAAATCGATGAGTAAATCAGCTTATTTATATTTTTACATATTCACCTATAAATATACCTACAACTATTCCTAAGCATTTATTTTCTTACAGTTCTTGAAAATACATCAATTCTCCACCAATTTCCTTAATGTGCCATTTTTAACAGGTGTTGTGAAACATTGTACAAATGGGCTACTAATTTTTTTGCAAGGAACATTTTAAACTCCTGTCATGTTGATTTCTAATATTGTAGGAAAATAACGTGAATTAATATCCAATGAATGACAACCAGTAGTTGGTTCCAGAATCAGTCTTTAGATCAAACCAACAACGTTTGGGTTATAAGGTAAGCACTTATTCGTCATGTATGTTTCCAGGTGTCCAGCAAAGATTTCATAGGCTGTATTGCTGACATTCACATAGACCATACTCTGTTGGACCTCAACAGGTATAAAGTTGTCTCTTGAGTACCTATTAAATTTTTAATCTATGCTTTTTAATTGTATTGAAACTAACTACTTTTGATCTGTTATTCAAACATTAAATATATATTTTGTTAGCCTGGACTTTTTGCTTTTTATAAGACAGATCTGTGTGCAGCTATGTTTTTGTAAACTATAATTTGAAAATGAATAGCTTATTATTGCATCAAAAGAAGCAGCAAGTTGGTTATCTTCTTTCACAACTACACACCAAGAGTACTACAAAAACTAGCTACGGTTCTATTCAACACCCCCTTTTATTGTGTGATTTTGAATTAAGTGTATCATTATCATGATATCATGAATATCAAGAGTATCATACTGTATGATGTGTTGTTTCATTAAAAAGCACAATTTTAAAGTATATGCCTACAAATTGTTTTAATTTACATCGTATCAAGCATTTTTTTTTTCTGTTTCAATTTTATTAGCTATGTGGCGGACAACGGCACTGTGGTGGGTTGTCCTCAGAGACAGACATTCTGTGCCTCACACCCTTGCCACAACGGAGGCACTTGCTCAGACGAATGGAATACCTTCCACTGTCAGTGTGCCGAGGGGTGGAGCGGCAAGGACTGCAGCATGGGTACGTTGTCTGTTACATTTCAAAATTTGTAATTAAGTATTAAGATAGTATGTAGACCTACATGTTCTATTAAAAGAGTGTTTGCAAAATTTACTATCAGACATACGGTAAATACCGGTATAAAAAATGATATTTCATTTGGCTAAACAATAAAGTCTAAATGACTATAAACCATCAAAAACTTGACTGACATTCAAGACAATATACTCTTGCGAAAACTCTCTCCATTGTGCAAGACTATGCTTATCCAATCTACAATATGTTGGAAGCTACTAAAAATATGCTTTAGGCTCTAAAATCTCATCTTTTCTCTATATGCACTCAAGAGCCACCAGTGAAGCCATGATGATATTTTTTAATAAATGAAATCAAGATAAATATGTTACTTATACCAAATAGGTATTTGTACCTTAGTCATTTTTGTTTCAATATTGTCTTTTTCTTTGTTTGAAGTTCATTGTTGGTGATGGTGAGTTAATGTTGTTTAAAGGTTTTTCGGAGATGTTCCATCACAATGGTAAAAAACAATACATAATTTTCCGGAATCTGAAATCTGATCCCGTCTTCAGGTAGAAAAAAAAAAAAAAACTTAACTAACACATTACAACTAACTATACAAACCAACCTAAGTTGGAATAAACTATAGAGAGTTACCATTCATGCAACATATAGATTTTTTATGTTTTGTGATTCGTTATATTTTGCATTTTCTATCATGGCTTGACTGCTATACAGTGCATACTTGACTGCTACTATGTAGTTTATTCCAACTTCCAACTAGGTTTTGTGTATTGTCTTTGACTATTAATACAACAACTTCTGTATCCAATAGTCAATGGTATTGTTAGTTGTAATGTGTTAGTTAAGTTTTTTCACCTGAGGACGGGATTATATATTAGATCCCGAAACGATGTGTATTGTTCTTTACCATTGAGATGGAAAATATCCACAATAAACCTGTAAACAACATTGTGTTGTTGTTTAGTAAATAATTAACAATTAAGAACACGGACAAGTCGTAAAATGTGTGTAAAATTACCAATCTTACTTGTCTTATTGAATAGTTCACCTGTCAACTAATTAATTTGACAATAAGGTATCCGGCCGGCGTGGCAGTTCCACGGAGACAGCATGTTGTCATTCAACCCTCTACTGCGACCAATACAGCTGCCGTGGCTCACAGCATTGTCTGTACGCACTCTACAACCCAGCGGACTCCTGATCAACACACAGATCGGACAGAACAGCTCGGCAATACTCTTGGTAAACAAACAATATAACTAGCTAAGAGGGTCTTAAAAGGAATTATATAAGAGGTTAGTTGTTGTAGTTCTACTTTGGAAGAATTTGCCATCTTTGTGTGTGCTACAATTTTGGTCACATCATCAAAGGTGCTGCTTTGGTGTTAACATTGAATTGTCTTCAACCCACTGAAGCATCTGACCACAAAAAGTAGATTACCTTATGAAAGTTTATGAATAGCTGTAATTATAGTTCGTAGGATTTATATGATACTAGGCTAACAATTCACACTTTGACTTTAACCACTAACTATTAACTATTATTTATATTTTCTGTCACTTGTATTTTCCACCAAGGGGAAACCAATTGGGGAGATCTATTCAGGTTCATTGGTGCTCAGGAACAGTGGCAGTTTTAGTACCTTGTCAAGGGAGGAGGGGCTAGTGGGGTGTTCCTAGTTTATGCCGTAAATTAATTGAATTTTACAGTGATTTAATAACTGTTGTCTGGTGTTAGGTGGAGGATGGACACCTGGTGTATCAGCTGGATGACGCCAGGGTGACACTGAGAGCTGTGCCAGTAGCAGACGGAGTTTGGCACCGTGTGGAGGTGTTGTGGTCAGTGTCTGGTGTAACACTATCACTAGACTACGGACTACGCTCAGTCACTCGCAGTCTCAATGTCAAACTGCAGGGCCTGTATGTAGGCAAGATTATCATCGGAGGCAGTGAGGACCAGGCTGAGAAAAACACGGGGTTTACTGGATGTATACAGGTAACTATTTACTATATAGCTTACAGCTTTATAAAATTCATGACAATCTCTTGGGATATGATTCTGTAGCTAAAAGTAAGAAACAAAGTTTATATACTCATAGGGGCGAACACGTTTTTAGTGTGTTGAGACTATGCGACAATTTTGATCAGAATTTGTTCTTTTGATTAATGAGAGATTCTTAGGATATCGGGTACTTGCATTGAAGGATTTGTTTTAGTTGTTCTTGTGGTATTTGACCTGAATAATTAAATTTTAAACATTCCTAGAAACCTAGTTTGAGTGGTTTTTTTTTTAGAAATGGATAAAAAACTGCAAAATATTTAGGGTAAAATTATTTGTTGACTCTTGGTTACCAATAACATAGGTCTTTTTCACTAATAAAAAGATTGTTCTTCCAAATAAAAGTTTTAGGTAATAAAATTCTGAACAAAACAGTAAAGTAGGCTACATTAGTCTCACAATTATTTACAATAATGAGTGGCTGGGTAACCGAGCATGATTGAAATTGTGAATAATGTAAATCTAACCAGCAATACAGGTAATAACTAACATTGAGATTGACATTGAATGTATATACGGTAGTTGAGCTTTAATACAGGTTTTAGAAAGCAATATAAATAATTTTAAATGCAGTGTACATACCTTTAAACTTTATTTTTACACATACAAAATTCTACTCATCAAATTTATCACACTCCTAGAAAGATGAGACTCGTCGGTGGTCAGCAACTGTGTAGTCTGTCAGTAAGATGATGAGCATCTACTAAACATCTAGGTCCTCACAGTAACGTAAATTTAGTTAGCTTAGCTTGGTTTTTATTTTTTGCGATTATGGTTAATCTACTTGTGGATAATCAGGAGTTTACTGTACGGAAAAAGAAAAGGTGCTCCTCTACATTTTATTTGTAATTGGTCTTGCCTTCATAACATTGGCAAACTGCCAAATAGCTTCAAGCCTTACCCTCACATATTTCTGTGATGTGCCACAGGATGTCCGAGTGGGGACAAGCCACTCTCTGCTAGAGCGAGCCACAGTGAAGGTGAGAGTGACCGACGGCTGCAACGCTGATGACTCCTGTGTGGACAACTCCTGTCCTCCCAACAGCCACTGTGCCACTCACTGGCAGACCTATCACTGTCATTGTCACTCAGGTCAGTCGGACTATCACATTAAACACACTGTGCTTAGCAGTGGTGTTCTAAGATAGTTAATATCTTTTATGATTGCAGAAATCAAGTTGTTTCACCCTCGATTATAGAACACATCATTTTTTACAATAATCAATTGGCTACTTCTTAGAATAAATATATTTTTACATAATGGATGTAACATTGTAACATACAGCACAAGGGCGTAGGTTTTTAGATTTTTTTTTGTGAAGATAGCAGTCTTACCTAAATGGGAGAGTCCAAACTGGCACAAGAGACACAGTGAAATATTGTAATGTTTTGTGCATATAGTGTAAACTTTTGTGTCACTTGCGCCAGTTTGGACTCTTTCCCATACAGATAAACCTGCTATCCTCACAAAAAAAAATCCTAAAAATACTTTTTACATATTTTGAAAATATATTAACAAAAAAATATATTTGATTAGTTTTAATTAGCAAAGCGATATTGAAAAAGCATGTGAATAATTTTAACAATGTTTAGATAACACCATTTTGACACCATTATAATTATTAAAGAATATACAATTAATATATTTAGACTTTGTACCGCATTCTATTCTTTCTATTGCCTTAGAGACTAATTTAATCAATATATGCTTCCCAATGCTGAAGCTCTTAGTCAAAATATAAATTGACAATATGCATACAACAATCCTTAAATAATTTTTTGTTAAAATGTCAGCATAATTTCATTATTAGTTTTCACCTTATGGTGGGACAGACAGACACCACCTTATTTTTATAGTAGTATCATATATTTATGTCATCATTCACTTTAATTAAATCTTAAACACTCAGTCAATGGAACATATATTTTTTTTACTGGTTTTATTTTAGTTTCAATATGTTTGGTATAAATTATAATTGTTATCCTCAGTAAAAAAGAGATTTTAGAAATTATAACTGCAGAAATAAGAAGTAATTGTAATGATATTGTTTCCAGGATTTGTGGGGCCGCAGTGTGTGAACGTTTGTCAGTTGAACCCTTGTCTCAACGAAGGCACCTGTGTTCAGAACAAGGCCTCACTCAAAGGCTACTCTTGCCATTGCAACTCTACACTCTACTCAGGTAAATTTGACGCTACAGTTTAAAAACACAAATTAAACTCAGTATAGATAAGCTCTAAACATAAAATGTAATTTAATCTGGGATGGATCGGATGTCGGTTTTACCTATTTTATAAAAGAAAACCAAAACTGAAAATGTATGGAAAATGTCTGTTTTGGTTTATTGGTTGTGCAATAATTTAGTCACAATCAATGTGTGATATGAACGCAACATATTTGCGATCTCCGGGAACATACAAGATGTTGCCACGATCACGGGGTACAATGATAACGTTTCGCGGAAGACGATTATGGTCCCTACATAACCTTAGAGTTATGGCGCAATCGTGGAAGATTTCAGATATCTTCACAATCACAAGGATATTAAAGATTTTGGATATGATTGTGGGATACAATGTTAATATTTTATTTTCACAATCATGGCAGACTTTTAAGATATTTGCCGCAATTGCACGACGATGTAACAACATAAACCTAACATCACCAACATCAAAGTCAATACACAGAAAATTATCAGTATTTTGGCTTAGGCTAAAATATAAGTGGGTGGTAATTTTATTAATTTAAAACCAAAAATAAAAATTGCAACTTACACATCACTAAATTTAATAATGGATTACCTAAAGTTATATGTTCAAATATTTGTTTGGTCAAATAACTAGTTATGTACAACTACCCATGGTGGAATCATCCCAAAAATAAATATTTTGACTTACAGGAGAGTATTGTGAGACAGTGGTTGACCAGAGTTGTCCTGTCAGTTGGTGGGGACATCCTGTGTGTGGACCTTGCAACTGTCCTACACACCTGGGCTACAGCCCTGACTGTAACAAGACTACAGGCCAGTGCAGTTGTAAGGTATGTCTAATATGTTGTACTTCTTGTTAATTCTAAGGATTAGTATTAGCTATCCTACAGGGGAGTAATTTTCTTCAACAACTTCCCAGAAAACATAAAAACACTAAAGCTTTTTCTACTGCTTACCTGTTTGTTGAAGTTTCCTCATTCTGTCTGGGTAGCCAAGTGGGGGTAGCGGACTTTTATCCCCCTGGAATTTTAACCCCTGGGCAAACGTGACGTCACAAACCAGGGGGTAAAATTGCAGCGCGAACTTTTGAGTTTCGCGACATCAGCTCGGTGGATTAAACGCTGAATTAAACATATATTTTCACGGTTGTGAATTTAATCAGAACACATCAAATTATAAAAACCTAGAGTGTACGACCCAGATTTTTACCCCCTGGCCAGATATATAAATTAGTGAGAATGATTAATTATCTTCATTCTGTTTTAATTTTATAGTAAAAATTTTATTATTAAGTAGCCTACTGTATATTAATTTATTTGTAACATTTACTAATCGAACAAGTTTTTAATTTTAATTTTGAGATTCTAGTATTAGGATTCGATTTTTGAAGCCAACAGTTGGTTAACATGACGTATAAACAATCAACTTAATGATAATTGTTTCGATCATTTCATTACAAAATAAATAAATAAAGATAGGCTACTAAATAATGAAATGTTTATAATTAATTAAAAACAGAAATAAGAAAATCAATCATTAAATTTCTAAAATCGGCCAGGGGGTAAAATTCCGGGGGGTAAAAATCCGGGGGTAAAAATCCGGGAATAAAATTCCGGGGGTAAAATTCCAGGGGTAAAAATCCGGCCCGTACATCTTTATTTGTCTAAACGTTGTTTTATGGACAGGGGGTAAAATTCCGGTTTTTATCGCTAATCTAATTAATCACGCTCTGGCTATTTTCATTAGATTTCCAAATCATCGGGGGTAAAATTCCGGCCGCGAACAAACTTTTGGCCACTCAGGTTCCTACGTCATAGTGACGTCAGCTTTGCCCAGGGGGTAAAATTCCAGGGGGATAAAATTCCGGCGACCCGCCAAGTGACCATACTGTAGTGCTCACATTCAAATCTACAGATCACTGGTTCAATTTCAACTTTCAAGCAAGATCAATTCTAGGCCCAGATGCCATTTATTTGTCACTGGGCTATAAATTAATGGTGCTATTTAACAAAATGGTCAACATTAGATAATCACAAGACAAGGGTTTGGAACGCTTCCTAAAAAAATTTAAATAAATGGCATTGGTTTTGAGTATACAAAAAACTGAAATAAACACCAGCCTATTAACTGAAACTGATGACTGTATTCCATTTATACAAAATACAGTATTCTGTGTAATTCATATTCACGATGGTAAAATTTCTGTTGTATATATTGTTCTCTTCATTTTGTTCAGGAGAACCACTACCAGCCTGAAGACTCAGAAGAGTGTCTGCCGTGCAACTGTTACGCGACAGGATCGTATGATGCAACATGCGACCCTGTGACAGGCCAGTGCAACTGTCGTAACGGAGTCATCGGCCGGGCTTGTGATGCTTGTCCCAACCCTTATGCTGAAGTCACTCTTAGAGGCTGTGAAGGTGAGACGTCCTTAGTGCCATAACTTACACAATACACATCCTTTCTGATTGCTATCAGTTTGTTATCATTGATTGATTGTAGTTTTAGTAATAGGTATTTTAAAAAGATCCAAGTTAACAAAGTTATGTGGTTCATGATCAGTGGTTTCTTATGTACCTATAGTTTTTCACCTTGAAAACAATAGTTATAGAAATGAGTAGGATTAAATAGTTTGCGTAAAAAAGATTATTTTGCAATAAACATTATTTTAAGCTCTGATGCCTGATTTATTTTATTTTTATGCTTTCTGGATAAAAATCAACCATAACCCTTTACATATTATTACTTTATTAAAGTATGTTATACTGCAAGATTACATGGGACAAAATACGTGAGGATTGAACAGCATTTTCTTGTACAATAAGGATATTTTGACTTAACTAGTTTACTTAGAAAACAGGATTTTTTTTAGTTGTGTGGAATTATTGTTCAAACTTAATTTTTTTTAACTGGCTACGTCTTTTTTATCCTTTGAATGGAAAATCTATCTCTTCTTAGTCAAAGCTATAAGGTGAAAGCACATTAACGTGACAAGTTTCACAAATCTAGTCAGATGTGTATTTCTGATGAAGTATCACTACAAACCTGTGACATGTTGATACAGTGGTGTACGACGGGTGTCCACGCAGTTTTGCCCATGTGTGGTGGCCGAGGACACAGTTTGGCAAGGAGGCAGTGGAATCTTGTCCATCAGCATCACAAGGAAGAGCCTCACGTCTGTGTGACTCTGTGACGGGTACTTGGCTGGCTCCCGACATATTCAACTGCACCTCTGATGCCTTCATGGACCTCCGGAAACTGGTCAGTCATACAATATTTATCTCTGAGACAACACTTTTTAAATTCATAATACCAGTGATATTAGCTTGACTTAGACCAAGGCCACACTAAAAAAACAGGCCGTAATGCTCGTCCAGCATGACGTCACGATAGAAGACGGCAGTGACGTAATTTTGCCGTTTGTGATCAGCTGCTTGTTTTAATCTTTCATTGGAAAATAAATAAATAAGTACTTATACGTCATAGCCGTCTTCTATCGTGACGTCATGCTTGGCGAGCATTACGGCCTGTTTTTTTAGTGTGGCCTTGCTTAGACTCACAGAAGGAATAGAAACTATAACAATATACACAATAATTATAATTAGACACAATATTTTGTCCCTCAATGGTTGACAAAGAGAGTTGTACAATTTTTGCAGTAATATCTATTTTTTTCTGTGTGTTTTACGACTTACCAGTACTTAACTGTATAAGTAAATATAGTTAAATATCTTCAAGAAGAACTGGTAATATTGGAATTAATATAAATTTGAAATAAAAACTTCACCAATATTTCTGGTTTTTTTTTAATTATATGAGGCCTTTCGCCAGCTATGCAAACTGTCATCATCAGACATAGTTTTGTGATGTGTCGTATGATGCCAGCATAGCTGGCGAAAGGCCTCATATAATTTTAAAAAATGCAGAAATATTGGTGAAGTTTTTATTTCAAATTTATATAGTTAAATATGTGGATGCAGACTAATATATAATTTCATCTCAGACTTTTAGAAAGTTTAACAGTGAAAGAGCAATGTCTAGTTTATAAAAGACTGTTCTTTCGTCTTTTATTTTACATACACATTGGGCTTATCTATACACACATATATCCATTTCAATTTTTTTAAATATATCAATTATTTTAGATGGGGACGCTACCTATATGCGTATTTCAACCCAAATATGACTGAAGGATGAGTGTAGAATGTTATGAAATGATCTGTATAGCTTTGTTACTGACTAAGATCAGCCGGTTTATCAGTCAGGGTCATTTATTAAAGAAAGCCAAATAATCAGGAACAGCTGGGTCCAGTTTCGAACCATCAAAAAGCTACTGACTTTTCTCAGGATCGAACCGGCGACCTTTTGATTGTTAGGCGAGCACTATAACCACTCACTATGACACTAATACTCCTGAACTACTCAGTAATCAAAGTGTACAATTTCCAGCTGAATCAGCTAGAAACAGGTGACGTGAGCGTGACAACATTTGTGGCGGTTGGCACTGGTGGTTCGCTCAGCAGGGCTACCAACAACACCAAGCGACTGTACGGAGCCGATGTCTTGATAACAGAACAGCTGATTGAGAGACTCATCGCACACGAGGCTCTACAGTCTGGACTCAACCTGACCCATAGCCAGGACAAGGACTATGTCACTGTGAGTAGACGTTTACAGATTTTTTTTAAATGTTTAAATTATTGTTGGTACTTCAAATCAATTAATCGGTACTTCACTCGATGCTGATTTGATCTTTATTCATCAAATACATTATTACCAACTCATCTGCGGGAGCTAGCTGGTCTAGTGATAGAGCATGAAGCTCTGGTCTCCGAAGTCCCGGGTTCAAATCCTGCCAATTACCAATGGATTTAGCTATGTGATAATGCGCAACTCTCTAGCTCTAAGCTTAGCTTGAAGTATTTTTGGCTAGAGCCCAATCCTTCAGTATGTGAAGGTATTTGTTGAAATGGTATGTAGAGTAGATACAAAATTGTCTCTTTCCTCTAGGTGGTATTAAATAAAAAAACAAACAACCCATGTTTTGTATATTACTGCTTGACAACTTGAAAGTCTGTGAGTATTCTTGTAACAGTCATCAATGTTGTCACCATTCCTGGCCCTTGCACAATTGTTTTTAGAATTGATTCCGTAATAATCTCATTTTAGAAGTTGAGTGTAAAATTAGTTATTTAACCGTCTCTCTATGTCACAAGAACCTGGTGAACGCAGCCAGTGCTGTGTTGAGTCCTGAGACTGCAGACATGTGGGGTCGAGTGCACGAGCTGACCTCAGAGACAGCGGCTGACCTCATGACCTCAGTGCAGAGTTACCTCGACGTTCTGGCCCTCAGCCAACACGACACTTACACCGACCCCTTCGAGACTGTGGCTCCCAACCTAGGTATGTGATAATAACATGAGAAATCAGCAATAGCTTTTACAACGGAAGTCATTGTAGGTGTTTAAACACAATATCATCCCAATAAAGTCATACAAAAACTAAAATTTGGATTCTAAAAGATTTCTGCAATTGTATTAGCTGTATCATACTGCTAATTGGAAACACAGAAGTAGTTAGATAGATTGACTATTTGTAGCAATTGATGATAAAGTTTTCTATTTATTTTGGGACGGGTGGCGTCGTCCTGTAATCCAGCTACTAGGAGATCACGAATTGTGGATAATTATAGGGATGCACTGTGGATGCGATGCTACCTGGTGTGGATTAACGTCCACACTAGTGAGTATTACGACTATCCGCAGTACTATCCTAATAATTAGACCAATTTGTTAATTACGAGGAAAAAATGTGGTTCGGATTCCACAATAAACTGTAGGTCCCTTAGTTGCCATTAGCTGTATGGGCTATTAATTAACAGCTGTGTCTAAGGAACATGTCGGCCTTAGTCACTAACAAGACTACAAGATCGCGCCACTTATCCTACACTCATCCTTCACTCATATTTGGGTTAAAATACGCACATAGTGGCGTCCCCATCTTAAATAATTGATAATTGATTGAATTGATAATTGAAAGAGTGGATACTTAGATGTTGTGTTATTTTGTGTTTTGATCAAGTCCTACAAATATGTGCCAGTTGTTCCCCCACATACAATTTAACAACCTGTTAATCATTTTTATAAATATTCAGTAAAATGTTATTAAGTTTGTAAAAGTCATTTGTTTCATTCTTTCAGGATATAAACTTAATACTCTTTAGAAAAAAGAATGGTAAATCAATTTGTGAAAAGATAAAACATTCAAACCTAACCTCAATTGTGTACTGTAATAGACTTATTTGGTTTCACAATGTGTGTGTTGTTTGTTGGACAGTGGTAGGACTAGACACCGTGACACATGAGAGCTTGTACGGCTATGAGACTGATGGCTTGTCTAGAGACACAGCTCCTGGCACATCAGGACTAGAGACTGAGAAGGTTGTGCTGCCAGACACCTCCCACATACTCCAGCCTCCTATACAGGTATAGTTCAGTTGTTTCAGTTCGGGTCAACAAATGCCGAGCTTACATTTATGCAAATGATTCAAGCGTCAGCCTTAGTCAATTGCAAATCTTTATTTTCGTGGGAGACTTTCACGATTTTGCCATGACTGCAGAAACAGTATGGGTGAGTGAATGTTTCGGTTAACCTAGTACAAGAAGGATACTACAATAAATTTTGTTTTCTTCACCATAATGAAGTTTACCCATGTCTTAAACTAAAATACCCAAACTTTCTATATGCTACCTCAACTATACTGAATTTAGTTAACAATGAATTACCACTATCCAAGAGATGTATCACAACCATATTCGTTACCTTTTATATATTTATCAATTTTTTTCAGTGATTTTTCTTTTCTTGTTCATTCCATATCCCACTTATAATGTGACTTTGTTTTCAGTTTGCGGCTCTGACTGCCAAGAAGCCATCAGTCAGTCCGATGGTTATGGTGCCCAAGTACAACAACTACTTACAGAATCCCCATAAGTTTGACCCTCACAGCCACGTACTGATACCCATCGACCTGCTGGGGATTAGACCACCACAAAAAGGTTTGCAAAAATTCCAAAGACTTTATTAAATATTGGACACAGAAGAAATTATTAAAAGTATTGGTGTCAAAATCTATCCGGCTAAAACAGTACCAATATAATAAAGGTGAATCAGATTGATTGAACAAAGACGATTTCTATAACATTTTTACAAACAGTGCATTTAGGTTATTAAAATGTTTGACAAGGTAGTACAATAAACTTTCAAATTGTAAGTATGTTATGTTATGACTGACTTCTGGATTGTGAAAACAAAAAACTCACTTTCTTCTATTTACGATTTTTTTAAGGCCTATTGTTCTGCTAGCTTAACTTAGAAAGTTAGAGTTCAGGAGCTAGATTTGCAATAAAAGATCACAAAACATAACACTGATATTTCGTTCAACTTCAGAGGGTAGGTTGAAGGGAAATGGCAGCTAAAGTTCAAAACTATAGTAATGTTCCTTATGTTTACTGCATTAAGTTTTTCTCCACACTACATGCATAAATAATGCAACACAAGCTTATTTATTGGTGTTAACTTATTTGATTGTGCTTTTTTAAATGTATGCCTTAATTTGTTAATGCTGCTATCCAGTACGACGGATGAAAAATCGAGGTAAAGTAGTTTCTTACTCTCTCTTTTTATTACCTTAAAACTTGTCTTGTCTTCTTTGAAATTAATTAGTTTTATCTTGTGATGTTGCAATTATTTGGTTTACTCGTCCAGATACAATATCAGTTCACCTACATGTTACTTTGAATTGCTAATTTATGGTTACCTATTTATGGTTTGGTTATTGGCCTGTTTATGGCAATAAGATTATAGAAAACCAAAATGGTCTTTAAGGCTGTTCTTTGGACTGTAAACTGAGGCTACAAGTTTTCCATTCGAGGAAATAAAAATTTTTGTTCATTATTTAACTGAGTTGTCCCATGCAAAAACATTCCAAGTCACAACAACACATCTTTAGTAGTTACATTCATAAACAGTCTGATTCCTTGACACAGAACGTTTGTGCATGAAATATGATACAAGCAGTCTTTAATAAGCCAACCTATCTCCATCGTAATTGAGGTTTTAGCAGAAAAAGATGCGTCTACATCTAAGGATTTTTTTGTAATCGAATCTGTGAAAAATGTGACTTGGAACATTTTTGAATGTGATATAATGTTTGCAAAACAGATGTTCTTATTCCAATGTGTTTGTTTGTCCTGTTTCACAACTCAAATTAATATTTTGCTTCGTAATAGTAAACAAAACAAAATTGATTGATTAGTACTTTAACAGCGACTGCAGACTTATGGAGAAAAATCAAGTAATTACAGTTATGATATCCATCACGGACTCATATGAATGTATTGTGTAGGGGAGACAAGTGTGAAGTGGATGCCGAGCAGAGCCGCTGTTGTTGGATATGCTGAATACAGAACTCTGGGCTCGGTGCTGCCACTCACATACGACCAGACAGTGTTGACTAGGTGGGGAGTGGACCTGGCCCTGGCAGCGCCTATAGTAACTATCACTGCTACACCTGCAGTACAAGGTGAGACACACAATATAAGCATTTTCCGCAGTTTCTTGACAAACCGAACAGTGAGTCTACGAAAACAAAACAGTAGCATTGACTTTTGGATACTGAAGTAGACATCCCATCTATATGGAACAGATGTTGCCTCAAAAGAACTTAGTTGAATTAGCCACCCACAGAGTGGTCTGCAGTTCAAAATTATAATTTCTACCTTGGTTTTTGTTACTGATATGAAGTTACTGACAAGTTCATTTTAAATAACAGAATGCTATAGCTTCCAGTTTGTCATGGTTGAAAATGTGGCTTATTTGACAGAAATTGAAATTATTAATCTGTATCAGCATATTGTGTTGAAAACTTAATTACACAATATTCATTTTTGTTCCTAAAACTTGTGACAACTTTAACATGGGAATGGAATGTAGTTCTATCATTAGTCGAAGGTAGTAGGGAACTCGTTGGAAGTGTTTGTGTGATACAGATTGAGTACTTAGCTCTCAGTAGCAGATTAAGCTAATTCAAACCCTTTGTTGATTAAAAGGGGATGATTCAGTTGATCAGGGTAGGGTGACTTAGGTTTTACTTGAGAGTGCGTTAGTTGAGTACTGGATGGTTTTTTAAATTTTATTTTTATTTTTGACTAGAAATGTCTAGTAGTTTTCAGAGTCAAGTTTCAGTTAACAGCGGGGTTTTATAGAAGGAGTTCTGATTTTATTGTTTCAAATTATGTTTGCAAGGAGAAATTAATAATTCATTTATCTTATACGCAATTTTTTTAGTATTTGTTTAGCTTAAGAAGACTTTAGGGTCCAGCCAAATGTGTTTGTTAGTTTGCACATTTTGAGCAGAATAAAATAGGATTTCAGTGGTTCTGAATATGACCTACAGTAGAAGTATAATGGTAAAGCCTACAAAGCCATGTTTGTTTGGTGTAGATATGTCGGAGACGTCTCCCCGCAGTTTGTCTGAGATGGTGCCTCTGCCCTCGCCAATCAGACTGAGACTGTGGCTACAAGCCCCTGGCAGAGCAGCGGCCAGGGCCAACCCCCAGTGTGTGCGTTGGTCTACTGCTAGAGGGTGAGTATCTCTCTTGCTATCCGTGGTCACTGCAAAATTGTGAACATCTGTGATTGAGTTGACATTGATAATTTTCCTTCATGCAACTGAATGCTTTCTGCAATCGGGATACTATCTTTACGGTAAACGCTCAGCTCGGCTCATAAATCGAGTAGCTTGCACATGTCTAAGATGAACCAAAATAGCCAACAATTTTATATTCCCTCAGTTTTTAGCTTTATTTACTCTACGGAGTAGTTTAGTTTAAGAATGTTTAATTGTGTTATGGAGAGCAATGAGGTTTTGTCAACAATGTCTTGCTGTGATTTTTAGAATAGAGGGATAACAGCAATCTTAATCTTACCTTGGGAAAAGTCCAGGTAGACCGGTACTCATAGAAGATACAGGTGACAGAACACACAATATTTCTTGTATTTAGGGTAGCCTATATTTCATGAGTGGAAAAAATAGTTTTACAAAAAAAGCTGGACATACAACGCAATAATTTTTTTTCAGTCTTTTTTGCCTACACTAGACAAAGTTCCCAAGGGAACTAAATATTGTCTCCCCTATGTGTACTATGGCCTACTTAGAATTTTTCTAACTTATACTTCTTCTAGCTGCTATCCCTTTTTTCCAAAAATCACAATTCTGGCCTAGAGCTTTTACTTAAACTAACCAACAAGTTGTCAACATTTTGAGTGTGTCTTGCTAGATGTCGTCATGTGATATGTGTGACTGCACAGAGTAGTAAAGGAGATGTCTGTGTGTGCCTGATGCAGGTTTGGAGAGTGGAGCAGAGCTGGTTGCCACACAGAACTACCGGAGGGTGGTTGGGGTAGAGATGAGCCTGCACTAGTCAACTGTACTTGTCACCAACTCGGCACCTTCACTGTCATACAAGATGTGCTGGGTCCTGAGGTGGGTGCTGTTTAAACTTTTTAGTTTACCTTTTGCAAATGAAAAATTACTTTGTCAAAGTTATTTACGATTCTTTCATTCAGTTTACTGGATAATTTATAATGCAAGATATGGATAATTAAGGTATGGACAACTGCATTAAAGGTATATTTATTACCTAGAATGGTGAGAAATTACTACCTAATTTACAATACATGGATTTCTCTTAAAATGTAGTATGCATTTTGTGTTGTGCAGTATGTGGGAGAAGTGTCTGCCACTGAGAGTCTTGCTACCTGGGTTGGATTCTGTCTATCTCTGTGGGCTCTCACCATGGCCACCTTGATTCTGGGACTGCTACGAGCAAAGACAAACTCCAGGTAACACTTTACCTAAGGGAGGCTGTATTACTGTTTGATATATGATGCAATTATATCATGTATCACCTTTATTTGGTAATAAAACATACATTAGAGCCTCAGTTGTCCCAGTTATCCGAGATTATGTAGATTAAGTGTACCTTAGATGTTACAAAAAATATGGTAACACATTACTGTGTTAAAATGAGCGAATAAAATAATAACGAGTAGTGTGAAATAGTCTAGTCATTAGTGTTGCAATAATTTAAACTTAAGTGATTATACAATAAAAAATAGTTATTTTGTATCTTGGCCAACAAAATCAATACTAGATAGTACTAGATAACCCAGTCAAGGTCATTCTCCTCTTCTCCAACCGTACTCCCTCACCATCCTTAACATTGGCGACCCTGTTTTGCCATTGGCCAGTAGCCTCCCTACCCGCTCTCTACCACCAAACCTTGTTTTGTCCATATGTAGATGATTTTCACGCTGAACCTACTGTACACATTGTACAAGCACTACCTTGTTTTAATTTTTCAGTTTCAGTTATGCGGTGCACATTTTGTATTTCTAGGATGTGTTTGAAAACCATCTGAAATACGTTTTAAACATTGATGGTTATAGAATAATGTTTTTGTCGACTTTTGTTTCAAAAGTCACAGTTTGATCTTTTCTTGTGATACAGTAACTCTGTTAAACAGAAACTAGGTTAGTTGGGGCTAGGATAACTGTAACTGTACTATATTTGTGAGATGATGGACTCAGATATCTTTGGTTTTTTTTTCAAACTGACAGTTTTTTTTTTTCAATTTCAGTGCCATCTACACCAACCAAGCCTTTTGTCTACTTGTCGCAGAGGCGTTGTATCTTGTTGCACTCAAGGCTCGAGCTTCACTTGTCACTCATGAGGTTTGTACAAGTTATTTCTTTATTTACCTGAGAACTGTGCCTCATGTTCATTATAATTTTATAGAAATAACAATTTAAACTTAAAGTCTATTTGAAGTAAATAAAGACTGAGACAGCAGCTCTAGTATTGGATTGAGAATAGATTTGTTTTTAAGTTAGAACATTTCTTTATCCTGTTTTGAAAGCAACTTTGTAGCCTCAAGTAAGAAACGCATTGCCGCAAAGGATTTTTAAATAAAAAAATTCTTACAAGAATTTTTTATGTGTTTTTCATGTACATTAGGGTGCACTAGTGTGGACACCATGCTTTTTTCTCATTTCAGGGTAATTTTTCACAGTGTGGTATTTTATCCTTTGGTTACAATAGAGGACAAGCAATATTGTTTTTAAAGTTAACTCTGTTCATCTCAGTTTTACAATGTTGTGTTTGACAGGTGAGCTGCAAGCTCATAGCCATGGGGCTGCACTATGTATGGCTAGCTGCGCTGTGCTGGTGGCTGGTTGGCTCAATACATCTGTATCGCATGTTGACTGAGATAAGAGATGTCAACCATGGTCCCATGAGAGTGTACTACTGCATTGGTTACTCTCTGCCTGCAGTAGTGGTCGGCCTGGCTGTCGGAGTGAGGGCCGACCAGTACGGTAACATTGCCTTGTAAGTTTCAAATATGTACTAAATTTACTTTATTCGCAGGAGTTTGCAAAATTTTAAAACTCTTATACCAAATTGAAACTGAGTAAAATTATGTTTTATAGGACTTCATTGTACAGCTTTATAATTCTTGGGTAAGATGAAGTTGATTAATTTCTGATCAATAACTAAACTATGTCATTAGTGCTATTAACGTTTGCCAAAGCGCTGCTGGGAAATTGTCATAGTGACTACTCAGCAGTGCTAAATCCATTAAAACACAGTTGTTGTATAAAGTCTCCAAGGTATATTAGCCATCACTAGTCATCACCCATGTTTCCTCAGCTGCTGGTTGTCCCTGTATGAGTCAGTGATCTGGAGCCTGCTGGGACCAGGCACAGTAGTAGTGTTTGTCAACCTGGCTGTCCTCATATTGTCGCTTAGAGCTGCCTTTACGCTCAAAGATCACGTCGCTGGATACGGGAACCTCAGGTAATTTATTTATTTGTGTCAGTGCAGTTTAGATTAGATCCTTTGTTTCATAACAGAATTGGGGAAAATTTCTAATGATCCTTTGTTGTTTATTACACTTTAAGTCATTTTTAATCCCAAACTCAATACCTTTAGATGTACAATTCATACTGCTAGTTCATACTGCTTGCCTTTCTTTTTGTTGCAACCATCCCTTAACCTAAAAATCAATTAAATGTTTAATCATGCCTTCTGTTCTTTTGTCAATTCAATAATTTTTTTTGTATTTTTTTATTTGGTTAATGAATTATCTGTAATCTCAAACTTAATGCAATGCTCAAGAGAGTCTGCATTGTTGATATTTAATCATTACACGACAGCTTTGTTTCCATATAACAGGATTGCAACAGCTTTGTTTCCAAGCCAAATGGCCACTATTTTTCTGTAAAGATTAATAAGTTATGTAAGCACTTTGTATATGCTGCGTAGGACGTTGCTGTGGCTGAGTGTAGTGTCACTGCCGCTGGTAGCTGCTGTCTGGTTGTTGTGTCTAGTCTCAGCAAGTGAACATCATCCTCTACTCACCTACGCCATGGCAGTGGTAAGTACAGTAACAGTAGTACCTTCAATTATAGCAGCCTTATACCTATCTTTTACCATGAAAGGTACAGTTACTTTCCCGTTCTTTAGGGAACATGAAGAAATAAAGCTAGTAGTAAAACTGTGCATTTCTTTGGTGTAGAATGCTTCTTTTTTTGGTTTTACTACAAACTCTACTTTTCAGTTTTTTTTTTGTTTTAACTTCACCTTGCTGTTTACAGGTGTTGCCTGTTCAAGCCTGGTTCTTGCTGGGTGGATACTGCCTTGGCAATGCCAGGGTGCGAGCTGGGCTGCGTCGTGCCTTCCTGCAGATGTTGGGACGCAAAGTGCCTCCTCTGCCTGATGATGACCCTCCACGACCCAGCTCAAGCCAAACTTCTCATCCGGTAATGTCAATGGCCTTGTATTAAATAAGTGGTATTAACTTTTATGATTTGATCAAATATCTGTTGACTTAATGAACAAAGATACACATTGAAAATAGCCAAAAGATAAAATGTCATGCTCCATACAGGACTGAGCAATTTGAAGTACATTTTTTGTCTTATGCAATCAATTATCCATCAACTTTACATATAAGAATGGAATTATATCACTACCTCAGCAAGGGATGGACTTTTGCTTAGTGCTCTCTAGGAATATAAAAAAATTATAACAATAACTCGTAGTTTTAGGTTATGGACTTTTTGGATAAGTATCATTTAATCATTCTTACAAATATTTAATCCATTATCACTTTTTACTCATAATAACTGCTCATTTGTAGTAGATTGTCTTGCGATGGTGCTATAGATTCTACTGATCTCAAAGATTTATAAGGTTTTTTTTCTAAATGTGGTTGTTTTCACAGAGGTCGGCCTTGGCTTATCGCAACACAGGAGTGAGTGCTACACCGGGCATCCCTGGGTTTGAGGCTGCGAGGCGTCACCTTGGGATCTCTACTTCTAGTACAACATCCCGCTCTACTACCAAGACTGGTAGCAGCCCTTACAGGTATATTGGGCACTAGTTGAACCTGCTGGAAGGGAGGGGACTGACAAACTAACTGTAATAGAGAGTAATCAATCTAAATAATTTCATTATATTGTTGATTTTGCCATTTTTGTGGCTTCCTGCACATACAATAATTCTTCTTTCCACATCTGAAAAAGCCTCATCAAAGAAGAAAGATTTAGTTTATTCATAAAGAGTGCGGCAGAACGGATTAAGGAGTTTTCACTTACATAGTACTCTGGGTGTAAACAGGTAGATAAACACTGTTGGTCTTGTTCAAATTAGCTACTCTTACCGTTTCATTGGCTAACATGTTTCGGAACAGACAACATTGAGATTGTGCTGTGCGTTTGTATCATAAAAACTCAAGTGACTGCTTAGACCGTTCCGCCGCTTCCTTTTCCCCATAGGGCTTTTAATTCAGTGGAATTTTCATAGGGGAGGATTAATTCAGTTGAATTATTTTTGTTCCCATTCCTTTCTAAATTTAGTGAAAATAGGTTATAAAAAAATCTGTAGACAATAATAGTTCCTGCAGGCTGTGTGGAAACATTACTTTTACTACACTTTGTATATTCACAAACAATTTTTGAACTTGACTTCTGGGCAGAGAAATAACGGCAATAGGTGTCATAAAATAATAACCAAAGACAAGCATATCCGTTATTGCTAAAGGCTTGAGTCTCGATAACTAACTATTACATATTGAGGGGGGGAAATACTTAAACGTTAAAATGTCATGAAATCTTCTCTTCTCAAACCATTGTAAATTGTAATCAGTAATTTAGAATTTAACTGTTGTTGTGTTGGCAGAAGTGACACACAGCTTAGACACACGTCTACCAGCACCAGCAACTACGACCAGTCAGCATCTGACGTAGGGCCACCCTTCACACGACGCGCCACGGTCACTCAGCACACTTCTGACTCTGAATCTGAGGTATGTTAGCCAACTAAACTTTCATTTTGTTTTAGTCAAAACATATTGAATAAGTACTGCTTGACTGTACCTGTTATAGTGTTTACTTGACACTATAACAGTGTCAAGTAAACAACAAACTTGACAAGAACTGCTTTAGAGACATGTGAATGCGCTGTTATGAGTCACCAGTGCCTTGTTAGATTAGATTTTATACAGTGCTGACATAACAGTGTGCAAGTTTTAAGGGAAAGACAAGTGTAGGATGAATGTTGCATTAATGAGATGACAGCTTTTTATGTGTAAGATCAGCTGTTTGTTTATTTAGGACTACTCATATTGTAATATAATATATAATATATAATAAAAGCCCATTTTCATGTATACAGGGTGATTTGTACTCAGTGTGACAAAAATTTTTTGGTGTAAGTACAAAGTAAATGAAGTGTGATGATGCATATCAAATGTTCCAAGTCTCAAAATTAGCTTCCAAAAAAATTATTTTATGTTTTTCAAAAATAACCATGTTTTTATACTTAATACAGCGATTTCTCAAATACCTGTATATGGATTTGAGTAGATAATGTAATTTTCGTGTTCTACATTAAATTTTGAACAAGAATAATATAAAATGACGGAGGATCAGTTGTAAAAACTCCATAGTAAATAGATTCAAAGATAAAAATTAAGATGTTTGATAAAAATTTAAAAAACAATGGTCTATTGCATTTTTCACACCCTGTATACAAGAAAGTGTCGGACTATGTTTAAAACTGCGCTATTTAATAAGCTTTCCAACCATATGCTACACTATTGAGGTTTAGATATGTTTTTGTTTGTTTTAGTGGTTTGAATACCAGAAAACAGGGAAATTGTTTACTGTTTTACTGTTCAAGCTGAAACAAAAATACAACATTTGCTTAATACATGCCGACTTTCTATGTTTTACATGTTAAAGACACCATGCTTTGCAATCTTCAAACCATTAAAGCGTACATTAGCAGACATAAAACTCAATAGTGTAGCATATGGTTGAAAAGCTTATAAAATGGCGCAGTTTTTAACATAGTCCGACACTTTCTTGTATACAGGGTGTGAAAAATGCATTAGACCATTGTTTTTTTAATTTTTATCAAACATCTTAATTTTTATCTTTGAATCTATTTACTATGGAGTGTTTACAACTGATCCTCCGTCATTTTATATTATTCTTGTTCAAAATTTAATGTAGAACACGAAAATTACATTATCTACTCAAATCCATATACAGGTAATTGAGAAATCGCTGTGTTAAGTTTAAAAACATGGTTATTTTTTAAAAACATAAAATAATTTTTTTTGAAGCTAATTTTGAGACTTGGAACATTTGATATGCATCATCACACTCCATTTACTTTGTACTTACACCAAAAAATTTTTGTCACACTGAGTACAAATCACCCTGTATAAGGTCTTAGTCTTTTTTCCAGCCATCAAAAAGCTTCTGACTTTCCTAAGAATCTTACCATCAATCTTCTGATTATCAGGGGAGACTTGTTCTACATTCTCTGGAAAATAGAAGTAATATTGAGATAATAACTTAAACACCAGTTTTACTGCATTCATTTGTTCATGGTTCTTGTTGCATTATTTTATTATTATTATTATTCTCATTCTGTATGTAGTTTAAACCACCCATCCAGACACAAAAATTCCAAATTATCATATATCAAGTCTTTGAGTTTGGTATAATATTAAAATTTTATTATTTAGTGTTCAAAAGCTTTACTAGTTATATTGTGACATATTTTTATTGGACCAGTTATAACCTCTTTATTGTAAAAGGTCAAGCCTTTTAAAGCCTAGTTTGGAATGAGTGTAACATTTTTAATCCATTTCAACAGGCCTCTCTGGATGGCCGCAGTCTGGAGCTGGCGTCTAGTCACAGTTCTGACGAGGATGAGTCCGGACAACACCAGCGCAAGAGGACTGCTAGGTCTCCCCCCTCCCCCTCTCCACCATTCCCTCCTACCAACATTCCTCTGAGTCCCTCTCTACAGGTACAGCCTCCACCTCATCTCAATGTCATCGCCAACTCTGAACTTTTCCAGCCCATCTATGCTCCTCGATGGGCCCCGCAGCCTTTAGTTGCAGGTTAGTGTCCCTTTCGGTGGATTTTCCTCTAAAATTGTCAGGTTCTGTTTGAGTTGAAGGTATAGAGAATGACTTTTGATTAAATTCTTAATACTAGTGATTTATTTTAACCTAACACTTTTCAATTGCATTACAATGAATGTTAAGTTTAATTATGTGTTATATTTCAGAGCATATGGCTGTGGAGGAAGGTTACATTCCCCACAGATGGACCAACATGTCAGCCTCTGACAATGAAGGTCCGAGGGAACACAAGCTGCTCAACAGCTACTACACTCCGCCTGGCAGTGAGACCGAGGATAAGGCTGTTACTGACAAGTACCTCTTTCCCTACACTGGTAAACAAACACTCTTTTGAAACAATTTTTCTGATTGCTATAATTTTCTTGCTTGTATAACTTTTGATCTTTACAGTTCCATCTCATTTGTTGTTATTGTCTTGAGAGCTGCCACTATTGCGATTTCCCCTATGCAAATGAAGGACATGTAAGTGAAAATGAGAAATAGGACCTAGTCAATGCATACAATAAACAAAAAGGAATAAGTGAACTTGAATTTCGTAAGGAAACCTAACCTAACCTGAGCTTTTCCATCAACCATGCACAATAAGCTAAGGTTGACATATGGCTCTTGAGTCTGCCCATTCCCAACATAACCATACCAAACCAAAGCTAACCTATCAAAAACTAGCCTATCCTCATTTACATACGTTCATTTGCATAGGGAAAATTAAAATAATGGTGGCACTCCTAAGGAACAGTCCCTTTATCTTCTATTCTTGAAAACCTTAAGTCTTATCATCTTGAAAAGTGCATATATTTTACATTTCTTTAACACATTTTTCCCTAGAGGAATATTTGTTACAACGATCAGTAATACGATCAGTTTGTCTGGTGTTACAGCCGAGGAGGACCATGAGCGGGTGTACCCCAGTCTAGGTATGGTGAGGCCACACCCAGGTTATATACCTGACCACAGGCCTTCTACTGCGTCTCCGAGCCCTCTCATGATGCATCACGACTTCCAATGTCCTGACATTTCAGAAAATGAGTAAGTCAATTTTACTCTACCATGTGTTTACTCTTTGTTTACTCTCAATTACACAGGGTAAGTTTACAAGCCACCAATTACCTTTTTTCATGCTCTTTTTTTCTCATAAACTAGCCCAGTGTATTAGCTGCACTCGCTAAATTGTGAATTGAACATAAATTTTATACGGGACTGGAAAATTAATGTTCTTTAATAAATGCCAAAAATCTACCCAAAATCGCAGTTTGATCTCTTTTTGGGCAGTCAAAAATCGCAATCACGAGAAACTATCACGGACGTTACTATGATTGTAAGGAATGATCATGGACGGTGCCCTGATTGCAAGAAATTATCAAGGATGTTGCTACAATCCCTTGAAATCAACACAGGTGCTGGGATCGCGATAAATCACAAATTTGCCTGCGATCGCAAGATATGATCACGGATGTGGCCACGGTTGTGAGAAATAATCATGGAATTTGTCGCGTTCGTGTGAGATGCTCACAATGTAGCTGGCATTCTAGTGTTAACAGTTTAGAACCTGTAAGAACTGATTACAAATCAAGTAAAAAAAAAATAAAAACCATTTTAACGCTACAATTTCTATATTGTTTGATCAGATTTGAAATTGTGTTTTTAGTTTGTGACTCAAGTTTAAGGATTCAGATTCAAGATTTTGGGTAGTTTTTTTTTCCTTTTTTTACTGGTTTTAATTATAGACAATCATAGTTTTGTTTTCACTAGGGATAGAGAGGATTAGTCCTTATGATGTCAGATATTTTCTCAATAATAGGAGTTTTATGTCATACTCACTGGCAGGCCTTTACTTGCTGACCAATTGCTTGTCCTCGGCCTGTGTAACCAAGCCTTTACAGCTGCCTTCTTCAATGAAATGTTATTGGGAAAAATGAATGATGATGTCACTGTGCTCATTGGAGATTTCCGACATCACCATGTCGCAGATTACTATGTTTCTGCAACAGCAAGATCAGATTATGAAGGGATGGGAAGCTAACTATCAATTTTAAAATACTTATTTTTAACTTTTATTCCCATTCTTCCTATTTACAATAGGGATGAACGGGTCCCAATGTTTTGGGAAAAATATATTCCCTATCGTCGGGATGGGATTACATTTGATTCAGTATTTCCTCGAGACAGGATTCTCTATATCAGGCCTTTAAAACACTACTCAGTTTTTAACGATGTAGTTATAGGCGGTTTTTAAATACCTATTTGTGCTTAGCTAGCAGTGTTTTACTGATGTTTCACAGTTAATTGCAACAAAAATGCATTTTTTAAGTAACAGTTATTGTTACTTTTGTATTTTTTTATCCATTGTTGTTATTGTAGAACAGTGCAAATTTGTTTTGTTTGTCGTTGTGTCTATTTGTAAGAATAATAAATAAAGATTTTTAAAACAAACCCTTTTTCACAGGGAAAAATCCCATCCTGTCCTGAAAATCGGGAACAAAATCAAAATCTTGTCTAAAAAGACATTCCTGATTTACTAATTTAGAATCTACGAAAGAAGATTATAAATTTTTTTTAGTTTTAGTTGCTTGTGAAACTTTTATTGGGAAGGTGAAATATATTTTGCAAAGTTAAATCAGTTTTACTCCTCTACAATTAAAGGATGAACAACTGAACTGAAAAGTTTTAACTACGGTAAAATATCAGTATTAACCCTCTACAAAAATGCATAGAACTATGCTATATTGGTGTTCTAGAACAGTAATAGATACTTGAAAGTTTATTAATTTTATTAGGCGTTTGAATTGGACTGGTGTCAAGACTTAGTTTTAACTGTTAAGTAAACGTTCATCAAATGTTGGAAACCTAACTTAGTAATATTTTTATGCTGTGCTTACTCAGTGAGGAGGAGGAGGAAGAGGTAGGTTTTATATTTTTTAATAATCTAATTGGCAATTTGACAGTGTTGGAGTTGTGATATTGTTATTGAGGATATTCTCGTACACATTGTTCTATTTTTAATTGAAGAAGAAAGTTCATAGATTTTACATAAGATCAATTCATGTGTGATACACCCTTCCACACTCAATGACTATCAAGCAATTCTGTTATTTTTTTAGAATCTATGAGAAAGTGTCATACAAACTAGAACTGTTAGTTTTTATTTAGTATGACCTTTTTATACTGCAAACTGCGAGTATTGCTATTTTTTTCTATTTTTTGTGTTTGTATATGCTTTTTGAATTTTATAAGGTTTCCTCAAGTTAGGGAATGGGCCAATCCTTTTGTCGGATCAATCCTTAGAAAAGTCAGTAACTTTTTATGGTTCGAACCTGGGCCCAGATATTCCTGATCATTGGGCTTTAAACAGTTGAATCTCAGCCACTTGATTGCATTTTTAATACTATAATTGGTTTAAATACCTGCATCTATGAGATCCAGCGTGTTGCTAAATAGCAACCGGTTTCATTTCATATAGGAGTCATCATCAGGCCAGTAAAAATGTCTTCTTGCTTCATTCGAAGGTCGTCGATTGATGATAAATAATAAATAAACAAAACACGCTCATTTACATGGACATTAAGGATTAAAAACCACGGGTAATACTAGAATACGACGTGATCAGGTGGAAGTTTTGTCTAGTTTTATTGTGTCTAATTTCTGCCCGATCATGTTGATTCCCGTACCGTTAACTGTTATGACCAATTAACTTGGTCAGCAAAAAAAAATAAGGTAGAAAATACAATTTTAGACACTAGCGCATACTGTGACTGGGCTCACACAACTGTGTTATTTTTTTTTTTTTTACTGGTCGACAGCTGGTCCATATAGATGGGATGTCTTCCATCTGGGAAGCATTGCATTTTCATTGTTTTTTTTATCTAAAATCCAACATTCATATTGGACATGTATTTTTTTACAAAGCTGCATAACATTTTTATTTTTGTCTTGCTTGCAGGAGGGATACTAGTGAAACAAAAGTTTGACACCCATCATCACAAATATTCTACCAGACTATTGTACATTGCATCCATTCTTCCTTCCTCTTCAGCTCACCACGGTCACACTTAGCTTGTATATCAATGTTGTAAAATTTAATATGAGGCACAATCATAACCACTGTCTTAAGGTTATTGTGAATTGTGAGTATAAAGTATTTTATATAAGCCATTAATCATTATACTCTTAGCATTAAAGAAGAGTTGCAAAAAGTATGAGTTAAACTTTTGTGCCATAGTTTAATATTTAGATTTATTGAAAGTGTTATTCATAAAAAATCAAGGAGTGTTGGTATTTTTTTAATCAGTAATTTATTTAAAAATATTGATTTATCCTGATAGTGTTTCAAAACTGTAATACGAACGTTGTTTGTAAATGTAAATGCTATGATTAATATTATTGTACGGTTTAGCCTATATTTCGCAATAGTTGACACTCTTATTTTTTTCTTCATGACTCCAAATTGAACTGGTTTCGGAGTATATATATTATTATTATTGTATTATTTTGTACATAAGACAAATATTTGTAGTTTGATTTAACTACCCTCACTTTGTAAATACTTTTTATGTTATTTACATTTTGTTAATGTAATGTGTGATTAGCTTTAAAACTGTGTTTAGTATTTGTTTAGTGAAAAGAGTAAAGATTTAGATTATTAGAGAAAATCTAACAAGCCTTAGGTAAAAAGTGTTTAGGCCACATTGGTAAGTTTATGCAACTAAGAAGTGTAGTCTAGGTTTCCTATGTACCGAAATACTTTTGAGTAACTAATAAGAGGCACAAATTTTGTTCAATGAGGATTAGAAAGAATTGAGGCCTGACACATATTGTTTTTATAAACTTTTGTGCGATATATAGTTGCACAAGACACTCATTTAATAAACCAATGTTTAAGATACTTTATTTAAAAACTGGTTGCAGTTTGGATTGTTACAAAAACAAATATATCTAGTGGTAATATCTGCCAGTACCTATTAGAATGCACAAAATGATTAGAACTCTTTGGTAGTAGGAAACCAAGATTTAATATAATGACAATATCATTTGTCTTTTAAGTAATTGTGATAGAGATTCTAAATTTTATACTCGGTGTTTAAGATAAAGTTTTTAAAGTTTAGGCAATCAATGTTTTTTTATAATTTCTGCCAAAACTATTTTTGGAAACATTTAGTCACAAAATTTAGCATCGATGGTTGTTCTAAGTTGTCAGTATTAAAATGATAATCAAACATTCCAGAAAATGTACTTAATATAATCTAAATGTGTTATATTTATACTGAGATATTTATATTAGTGATTTAGATTTTTATATTCTAATAATAAATTTATCACAAAACAATTCATTTGTATAAGACAGTATTAGTGTAAATCTTTATGGTAGATTAGTCTTTATTTCTTAAATCACTAGACTCTGTAATGGAGGGGCTTTAAATTTAGTTGGGTTGAACAAATACTTCAACATGATATAAAATCTGGTCCAATTGCATTTTTTTACACTTTTTCATTTCTTAGGGGGAAGGACAGATAACTGAAGGAGATAACAAATTAGAAGGATTGGAATATCAAACCGAATTACATAATTAAATCCTCTCCCTACTACGAATTGAGTAGTAATTATTACAACGAATGACAAAGACTTGAACTAGCATAAAATAATTTGGAAATTTGTGTAAATACCTGCTTCGTGGCAATCCTGAGTGTTGCTAGTGTTGCAACTAGTTTCAACTTTCTACTTAGTCATCTTCAGACATACAGGATGTCATAAGAAGGTCGTCATTACACACACTGTACATAAACACACGAACACGGACATTGAAATGGTAAAAACGGTACATTTAAAACCAACAAAAACGATAACTGCAGTGTGGGAATGATGTGTCACGACCCGATGGATGCAAAGTCTAGACATTACACTACACCATCCGGTTGTGACACATCATCTACACCTTCTTATGAAGTGATCACCTTTTTTGACATCCTTGACACCTGAAAATGACGTAGTAGAAAGTTGAAACTAGTTGCGACACTGGCAACAATCATGATTACCACGAAGCAGGTATTTATACAAATTTCATATATTCAACGTAATCTGGAGGCTAGATCAAAGTTCAAAAATGAAAATAATTTTGATTTAGACCAATGCATTATACAGTACCTTATTATTGGGACAAACATTTTTATACTTGAATCAACATTTTAAAACACTACCCAGTTTAAAGCTTCTCCATTTTGCCAAAGTACTGTAATGTGCCTCAGTTCAGTAGGCCTTACCTAGGCTAGGAGTGGACAAAATTGACAATTTTTTTTTAGCTAATTAAAGTCTGTCTCATTACTCTTCTTAAAATACCATACTCATCATAGAAAGTGAAAGAATCAAAACTGTAATCATTGTAAATGGTAAAAAAAAACCTTTGAAATGTGTCATTTTACCTAAAATATGACTATGTACAATTAACTTTTAATCCATCCCATTACTATACCGGTGTTACAACGAATTCGAGGATCAAGATATTACATACAAACTAAAGTAATATGCTTCAAAAGTAGGTATATGTACACGTTTTTTTTTTTTGTAATAGAAAAAATTATACTTAAGAAATTTGTTTCATTCTCTACGCCTGTGGAATTTTTCTAGGGGGTACACAAACGCTTTGGGAAAGCGGTTCAAATCCATAATTTGTTTCAGGGTTATTTAATTATCATCAGATAATATTTTATGACATTACATTTCATGCACTCTAGCAGAAATCATCTTTGTTTTACCATATTGCAACAAAATAGGCTTTGTATTATATTTCACTTGTATCAGATAGAGCTATATAAAACTCAAGTCAAGTTTGTCCATTCTCAATGCTTAAGCAATATTTTACAAACATTGTACAGTCTTTGTCAATTAAAAAAGTGTTTTCTTATATAGAGATTGTGAGAAAATTGATTTATACGTGTTGTGGTGTGAATATTAAATGACAAAGAATTATTGTAGTGAATTAAGGTTGTAACGATGATCTCTCGTGTGCACTCACTGTGTTTTTGTTTTGTTTGTGCAATATTTTAGGTTAGTTGTGATAGATTTAAGAACACTCAGCACTCTTGAGAATGTAAATGCACTGTTTGGCTTTGATCCCCATGACATTGTACAGTTTCTCTTTCACTTACTTTATGCTTTCTTGTGTGATTTGTTTATAATACTCAGATATATGATGTTTTCCCGTAACAGTTACTGTGCCATCTTATTGCCAAATCTGTTGAGTACTCTGATCAATGATTCCTAATTTGCACTGTTGATCCTAAACACTTTGGTTACTCAATACGTGATATTTTACATTTTGTCTCTCATCCCCAAATTACTCTGCTAGTGAGAAGTATAAACACTTCCGTAGGTATTCCTGGAATATTTATCATCTTCAATATTCTTAATTAAATTCAGAATCTTATTAAATACCTTTGAGCACACATACTTGGCAATTTTTTTACAAAGCTACTCACTTGTTGCTAGCAGACAATATGGGGTTGTCATTTAGTTGTGGAAGGCTAAATTGCATTAAATAATTTAATTATTAATATTTCCAAATTTGAAAGATTTAAATGCAAATTAATTATTTCAATTTAGCTAAATTAACACACTCGTGTGTCGCCGGTATTGTATGGAAATAATAACATTAATAATATAATTATTTAATTTTGTTAATGCAGTGGGCTCAATTTGAAAACCACATTCAAATTTTTATCTTGGTAGCTCGGACTACCATTACATAATCAATATCAAAATATCATGGGTAATTTTTGATAGTTAAAATTAACGAATTAACGAATCACAACTTGGGCTTAACACGACAAGATCAATATGCCAATAAACTGGTATTGATGCGTGGTATTGTAATTTAGCCTCCTACACCTCCCTTACTCCCTACTGTCTTGTGATTTTACTGTACTTATTATTCATTAGCTTAATCGTTAAACTTAAACTTGTCTTTAATTATAGTAACATCAAAAATATTTATGTTTGTCAAGATTTGCAGATTAGATCATTGCCGTCAATATTAGATTCTCGCTTCATGAAGCCTAAATAGTACCATTGACTATTGGATTCTGAAGATAGTACTCAGGGAATTTTTCTGAAACCTATTCTAGAGTTTACAGGTTATCACATGCTTTAAGCACAATCAATGCTCAATTGATATTTCGTACATTTATATATTAAGGTTTTTACATGTTATAATTAAAAAATACAATATTTAACATTAAAATGAACCACACCATCCATCTAGCCTTGCCCACTTTGTAAATTGGATATTTGATTCTTGGCCGCTATACTTAATATGAATTACAGCTACAAAAATATGAGTCTAAAGTTATGTTATCAGTATTTTTTTAAAGTATTACACTTTGTAAGATTAATTTTGATATTTATAAGTTTTATTTTAAAGACTTGTTTTTAGTGCCGATTGTTAAATGTTTGCTATCAATGTGCATTTACGTATGTATTTTGTGTTTTATTTTTAAGTTATATATTGTAAGCATAGTTTAGGAAAATTATAAGGATTTGATGAATGTGATAGACGAGTTTATAATATTAGATTTAGAGTACAAATTTTATGTTCTACGGATATTTTACAACATGTTTTATTGATTCATTATATATTTGAGATCCATTCCATTGTATGGTTTTTCCTAAACATCCATGACTAGTATTTTGTATTTTTATTTAAAGTAAACCAATTGCTCATTCTTTTTAAGGTAGGTTTTCAAAGACTGTGTTATAATCATTCCTTATTTTACAATTATTTCTCTATTGAGATCTGCAATTTTTGTGCTTATTAATGATATGAAAGAACAAAATGTAATGCTATTTAATTATTTGTGTTGTGTAAATGTGCTTTTGCGCATATTTTTGTATGCTACAAAAGTTGTATGTAATTTATTTTTACATTATAATTAATGTACAGTTTTGTAATGCAAATTTAAATATAGTCATACTCAGTATCGGTTATTTTCCTTTCAATCCTTTTTTTTACATTTATTTAACCTTAACTCAAATTTGAGAAGTCAAAACATAAAAATGGCCTACACCTTGTAACATGGCGAAGAGCAAATGCAAAACATATAATAATAAACACTTTAATTATTGATTTACCTTTGAATATTATGTAAGTAAGTACTAAAGAACCATCCAGTCAGCGATATTTAGTTGTTTTCAAATCAGATCAACTACCCTACCATCCCTTGATAGTTAAAAGATTAAAGAGATAGATTAAAGAGTTAAGCACTTTGCACTAAAAACTTAAACTAAATAATTGCTTATAAATATACAAAAAGATTTTGGAGATTTTGGTTGTCAGTAACTTTTAGTCAAATAAATTCCTTGATTCGTTGAAAACTATGATTTACAAAACTCTTAATGCAGTACATTATTAGTTGTAAATATAAAAGTGAATCATAACAATAGTTAAACTAGAAATTACAAGTTAATCTCCATGTTTTAGATTAACTGTAATAATCCAAGCGGGTGTTATATAGCATGTCTTGTTACTCATTTAACAGAGATTCAAATCTGAAATGATTATCACTATCACCAATACCATCTCAAGTAGAAATAAACAGTTTGCATCTTTGCAATCATGAAACATATAACCTTTTTAAGTTGTATTGTTGCTCTGGCGTGGAGCTTCATACCAACTTCAGTGTATCTTCAAGCTATCGATAGAATTATTCAGAAGTTAATAGACAATTTAGAAACTAAAGACTTTGATGTTTTATGTGAAAATGTACAATGCTACAACGAGCACGCTTTGGAGTTCGTCCAAAAACTGAAAGCCAGGGATCCTAAGTTTCGAAGCATTGCCATAGAACATTGCCGAGTGGGCAAACCAGAGTTTCCAGATTGTATCAATGTTCAGGGGATTCAACAAAACCTCGGTTGGAACGACACTCAAGCTACTGAAATCTCTAAACTGTTGGGCGAGTCCCAACGACTGTGGACGGAATTCTGGGAGGTCTGCCATAGTGATGATTACGCACGGTATATGGACAAGTTTTCTCCTGAGTTTTGATGAATTTGTGTTTTTTGTTTTAGTGTGTATACCCTATGCAAAAAGTGTGATTTGAAGTTATAAAAAGCGAGCAGCTCATTTCTAAGCATTGTCAGATCATCTTCTAAAGTGATTAATTTCAATGTAGAGTAAGTTAAGTTTAAGGTGAAATATCAGCAGGAAATCAAGTTCTTGAATTATTAAAATTTACAATTTTAGAAAAGAAAATTTAATAATGCAAGAAGCAAATTGAAATATAGAAGTATAAGTATATTCATCATGTTGTTATAATGTCCCCACAATAATTCCACAAAAACATATGTACACAATACTTATGTCCAATAACTACTGTACTTTAAATTTCTTTCCAAAATTGGAATGGAATTCCAGAATAATGATGAACAAGTTTAATTTTTTTAAGTAATGTTCTTTTATTAACTTTCTACGTATAAATAAAAACAACACTCTGATTTTAAAAATTAATTGAAAATAATTCCGTTGTTTGGATTTTATGACATATTTAGTCATTATATGTTGAATAAAACAGTATTTTTTACAATTCTACTGACAAAAATGTCTTGATCTTAGCCCAGTATACATTAGTCAATTTCAATTCTCTGTCACTGTCAAGCATTTGAAACTTATTATGACAAATTTTCATAGATTATGAAGTTTAAAAAAAAATTTTAAACTCGGAACAGTCATTACTCCTAATTCTTAAAAAATTGGCTTACATTATATTCTTCATGGAGCAAATCTTATTATTCTTAAGCATTTTTTCTGAATCTTAAAAATTTAATCAATGTCTAATGCAAAGCCCAGAATTCAATTCCATATTGAAGAATTGAATAGAAGTATGTATAGTATAACATTAAACAAGTTTTTAAGTCAATTGTGTTTCTTAAACATATCATTTGATAACAAGCCAAATTCAGTCTACTAATTAAACATTTTCAATGCTTTTTTCCAATTTAAATTTGAATCTACTTACAAACTGAGGAATTTTTCATCATGGTAAACAGCTAAATTTTGGTCTTTAAACTATTTTGCATGAGCAGTACAAAACTTTACCAGTTGGATTTTATCTTTATTCATTTTTAGACCATTAATGTTGAATTAAAATTAATCTGTTCCAGTTCCGAAAGGGCTTGTTTAACTTTGAGCGATAATTCTGAATCATTTTTACATTTGACAACTGCAGGTCGGCATATAAGATAAGGTTGTTAGAGACATTTTTAGGCAAGTCATTTATATACAAAATAAAGAGTACAGGTCCAAGAATCGAGCCTTGAGGAACACCAACTGTATAATATTTTCCTATTCTGACATTGATTGTTCATTATTTTTAAAAATTATTGTTCTTTGAAAAAGGTTTGTTATAGGTAAGTCATGAAGTTAACCATTAAGACAGCTTTTTTGAAAAGTTGTAAATATTTAGCTTTTTCAAAAGAATATCGTTGTTGACGCATGCATGGTTAATTGGTGCTCGATAGTGAGAGATGGTGGTGGATTTTTTCGCTATTGCAATAATTTATCAAATAAATAACTTCTTGATCAGCATTTGATGTGTTATTAAATTTACGGAAAGTAAAATAATAAAAAGATACGTCTATTTACGATTATACTGTTAACTCACAAGACGGTAAATATACATAAAAGATGGTGAAGGGGTGATCGATTTGGATTGGACACTCCAATCACAATCAGACCCAATAAGTGAATGGTCTTCAATGTATTTCCAAACCATTTTGTAGAGCTTAAAAAATAATTTTGTATATTGAAGCTTTGTTGTATCTGTATGCCTATAACTTGTATACTGAGACAATTAAAAAAATAATTGTAAATTAAAAATTTCCAATGTTACTCTTCCGGAGAATAAAATGAACTGTTAGTTGTAATTTGTTTGTTTATAGATATGTTTAAGCAGAATTTGGATTTTTTTTATATTTCAAACTAAGCTATTTTTAATTTTTAAAAAGGTTGGCGGCCTCTTTTAACACGTTCGCTGCGGGTTACCGCCCGGGCGGTAGCTCCGCGCTCTGCCACGCTGCGGCGCGCCGCCCGGGCGGTAATATGCACCCGCCAAACTTATTCCGTTTGAGTGTTTGAGTGCAGCCGCACTCCGGTGTAGGTCGGAGTATTTTTGTCCGTGCTTCGTGTATGACATTGGCAGTTTTGTGGTGCAATCCATTTGTAATTATCGTTACTCGTTCCGAAACTATACCTAGTGGATTTTGACTCACTCATTACGTTTGTTAACTGTAATTTTTTGTTATATTAATTTTGTTTTATTGTAAAATAATGGTATCTACTGTGGGTGTTTGCAAACTACGTCGACTCTTGTCATGAAACAGGACCTCACCACACAAGGGCATCACCACACGTTATTTGATATTCGTCATACCGAAATATGAAAGCCAATAGCCCGGCAATCGAGTTTGTTCGACGCTGCGGGCTGCGCCGCACTGGGGCTACGCCTGCCATTTGATGGGCAGCAGCGAACGTGTTAACCTTGCATATGCCCATCCACATAGACTACAGATCTGTGCGTGGAACGTATCCAGCAATAAAGCAAGGGGTGGGCCGGTACAGTAGGAAGGTGAACTGTACTGATAAAAAAAATGTTTGCGGCAGTGACCAGGATCCGAAACTTCAACATCGCTGCATTGGGCCCGAAGTCCGTGACGATACCATAACTGAGCCAAACAAACTCACAAAAAAGCTATCAACATTTAAATTAGAATAACCTTCCCTGTAGCAGTAGCAGTAAAGTACTCATTAGGTATGATTAATGATATTTTTAAATAGGAACTATATCTGACAATTTTATGGGCATTAGTAGAAATCCAGCCAGGTAAATGGAGATTCGCTTAATCAGCAGGTTTGCTGCGGCGGGTATTTTTTTAGTTGATCCCCATGATAGGTTTTTTGTCTTAGGACGCTAGGCACGAGCCTAGTGTTGTTTTTCACATTACTTCAGGCTAGACCTAGGGGTTCTAAGTCCAAGTATATAGGGCTTGCCGCATTATCACTTAGATATCAAATCCATTGGTTATTTGGCCGGATTTGAGCCCGGGACCTCGGGGACTGAACTCCCTTGCTCTAACCAATAGACCAGCTCGCTCCCCCGATCCCCATGATATGTAGTATAGAAGCATACAATCACAATGTTATCAAGGACCAAATTATTAATTTGTAACAAGATGGTTTTGGATGGATTAGACTAAATTGATCAAAGTGAAAAAGGCTTGGAAGGGCGTGAATAATATTTGAGTGTACCATATTTTTGGTTCCATTGAAATATATTTTGGAAGTTTTCTTGCTAACAAGATAAAAGAATTTATTACTTACAGTTTGCGGTATGTAAGCAAACCAAATTTATGATTATGCCACAGTCTAACAATAAATAATTTATTTATATTAGACTGTGATTATGCCTTATGAGATTATAAGTCATGAATGGATACTTGCTTGTGCGAATCAGCTGACTAATCGGAATCGGACAGCGGAATACCTTCTAATATAAGCAAAAAAGATTGAAGAAAAAGAACTGAACATAGTGATTGTGATTGCTGAATGCTGATTGTGATTTTATTTTGCTATGTGGTGAATGTGAATGTGATTGTGAACGAACGTTGTGTATGTAACCTCACTCTGAGGTGTAACTAACATAACCTCAAACTCTAACAACAAAACAAACAAACAACAGTAATAACAATAACAAATTTAGGTCTAGCTATGAATGAAACCTATTATACTAAACTTGAACCTGTGTTATTTTAGTTATGTAAAATGTGTGGTATATTTTGCATGGTGTCAAAATTTGATAACCGGACAGATCATGAAAATAAATCCCAACATGATCGGTGTTCAGAACTTCATAAATGCCCTGTAAGCAGCAAATAACTTAAGTTATGCATATTTATTCTTCATTTTATAATTTAAATCCATTCAAGCAAGACCTAGCATATACAAGAATTTATATAAAATGTAGTACCCTAGGCCTATGCACCTAACTTATACTAGTAGCCTATAAACCTAATCAGGCCTATCAACAGAATCATGTTTGGCCTATTTAAGTATTTATTTTTGGGGTACAGTTTCTTAACTGGGCTACGCTAATATCGATTGAAACTATCGATTTGATTAGTAAACCTTCATGCGATTTTTTCACCATCAGCAAGTTTGGTTGGTTAGGTTATGATAGTTTAATTTTATAATAGATATATTTTTAAATATCGATTATTAATCAATATTTTCAATACGATAGTTTCAATCGATATTAGCGTAGCCCATTTAAGAAACTGTACCCTATTTTTGTTTGTAAATTATCTCATATTTGCTTTTACTAGGCTTTTAACATCTCACCTGTTGCTAAACAGCATCATTTAGACCATTTACTAAAAGCAACTGAGCGAGCACTCAATCAGTCCTTTTCAAGATCGAATAAGGCCTAAGTTAGCAGCTTTCAGATTTAAGGCAATAGAATGCACTTGGTTACCCATTTTTTTTACTTGTTTCAGTGTGATAAAATAGAAAAATATCTTGGACATAGAGGCCCAGACAAAGTACATGATAGAAGATCAAATTTGTCGGAAAATTGGGAAGGCTGTTTCATTGGCAGTGTCTTGCGGACCCAAGGTGACGATACTGTCAGTCAGCCGATTGAAGATGAAAATGGCAATCTTTTCTTATGGAATGGAGATGTCCTGTATGGAGCTTTGGTATGTGGAATTGATTCAAGATTAATTTGTCATGTAAATGACGTTTATTAGGTAGACCAAAGATAGGCTACGTAACTTAGTTTTTTGGATTAATGCAAGTCATTAAAGTTTTTAAGTTACTTAGGCCTAACTTATGTCAAACATTCTAGTCATAGTTTTGATTTTCTCTACTTAAATTAACTATCAACACAGTAACAAATTAAGCTATGCCCTTCTGAAGTAAGATATTAACCTATTTTCTGAAACAGCAACTTACCTCGTACAAAATAGCAGGCAGGTTTTATCTTGTAAAACCACTAAGTTGGAGACCTTGACAGAAGAAAGAAAAAGCATAACAGTTATTTTGGCTGCAATCCTCATTTAACTAAATTTTAAATTAGCAATGTCTATTTAATATAAATGCAGTACGGTACCTCTAGTGTTTCACATCAAGTCTGTACAATACATTTTTGATGTAGGCCTAAACATCTGGATCAGGGAAGTCTCTGTCACCTGTTAGGTGGTGGCAATAAGAACCCCCCTCCCCCCCTCCTGGGCAAGTTTGTCAACCGGGCCCCCCTCTCCCAATAATCTTTAAAAACATCACAGGTATCTCCACCTAAGCTTGCACTTAAGTTTAGCACAGCATCTCCCTAGGCACCGAAGCGTTATCATTATCTTCCATGATTGTGGCAAAATCGTGACTCTCCATAGTCATGGAAACATAGTAATCTACCGTGATTACAACCAAACTCTGGACATCTCCAGTGGTCATGTAGACAACATCGTCGTCTCTTGTCATCACAGCAAAATCTGAATATCTCTTGCGGTGACGGTTTTAACGTATGTTTTTCCTTAATCATGGCAAAATCCTAAATAGCGGGTTATTTAAAAGAATGGTGCAAGACTAAACGGTTGGTACGTCGGTTTCCGTTATTTCAATTAGGAATTTAAACACGGAAATAGATGTACTGACCGTTTAGTTTTGCACCGTTCTCTTTTAATAACTCTGTATATCTTGCGGAAAGAGAAACGTCATGGTCGTCTTCTGCAGCAAAATCTTGACTATCTCGCACGGTCACGGAAATATTTGTATCGTCCTCCACAATCGCGCCAAAATCCAGAACATCTCCTGCGGCCGCGGAGACATTGTCATCCTCACCTGTAGTGGAATGATCTCGTCAACATCCGCGATCGTGGCAAAAGTGTGAATCTTTCCATCGCGTGGGCGTGATCCTCGCAGACGCATTCAGCGGTTGTGGTGTGATTGCGGTTGTTAAAGTTCGGCTCGAGTTTGATTGTCTGACTTTGTGCTGGATCGCTCAAGCTTGTAGGCTAGGCTCAGCTCAGATCGATATTCTATATTCTCTATTAAAAATCAACACTTTCCAAAGCAAACAGATTTTGAACATAGCCTACTTGAATTTGGCCCAAGATCCAAAGGTAAATTTTTATCCTGACTCGAAGTAAGCAAATCTGTCCCCTAATAGTACAGTATTAGTGAAATAATGGAGCTATTTATTAGGTAGCTAGTATTCTAGCCTCCTGGGTTTATTATTATTATTCACCGATTTGATTCGCTTGACTGAACTGGTCTGAAATCACCCACCGAACTGGACCACTTCAGTGACGCTAAACTGGACAATTTCAGTGACGTGTGCCGGCCAGCCAACTTTGTTAAATGTCTTGTTATGTATGTGTGTTAAATGTCTTCAAGAAAATTCGACGACATTCAATGAATGGAATATTTTTACGTTCTGTTTTGATAATGACTAATTAGTAGTCGAAACTAGTCAACGGAAGTTCGACTGAGGAATTGTGGACGTCAAGCTACGTAACCTGTTATAATTGATTACCAATTCTGGAAGCCTTCAACATGAATAAATACAATTACAGTAGTAGAACCTCTCTTAATTTGAATTTCAGAGGAAAGCCACTTAGACCTATAGGAAGTTTGAAATATTGGAGTTTGAATTAGGCCTATAGAGGTCAGAATAAATTAAATTTGAATTATGGAGGTCCCAGTTTTAAGTGTAGAGAGTTTGAGAGAATGGAGACTAATGAATACATCGTGGTAACATCAATAAGAGCGTCAGTTCATGTTTCAACAGGCGTATTTTTTTTTTCTCGAATTACAGAGGCTTACGGTAGTTCAGTTTGAATTGTTGAGGCTGCATTACGCTTAAAAATCACTTCGAATTATCGGTATATTATTTATCAAATGTTAGAGGTTTTCTGAGGGGGACAGACAAACATTACTAATTAGGCTATAGAGGTTTTAGAATTTTCGATGTTCGAATTAGCGAGGATCTACTGTATTACTTTACTAACATAATTCCAATGTGAGTAAGGATTAAACATTGATAAATAAGATAACAATTAATATTAACAAATAATATGCTAAAATAATGCCAACATTTTTATGTCCTTTACCTTTGAAAGATTAAATTCTAATTAATATGTATATCTTCTTACTAAGAAAAAAATTATTTTGAAAATGTAGCCTAATTTACAGTATATTTTTCAGAAAACTGATTTTGAATGTGATTCAAAAGTAGTGTTTGAGGGATTCAAGTCAGATCCTATTTCCACGGTTGTCAAAATCGGAGGTCCATATGCTTTTGTGTTCTGGAATGCCTCAAGACGCCAGCTGTGGTTTGGCCGAGACGTTTTAGGACGGACCAGCTTGTTGTGGCACGTCTCTCCAGTCCATGTAACGTTAACATCTGTAGCTCACAAACACTCCAGCTTTTCTGAGGTACCGGCCCTTGGTGTTTACATGGTCGATCTCGCCGAGGAAAACCAAGTTGGTAATGTTATTTGGAAATTATTTTGTAAATAATGTAATGAGTAAATCAATTAGCAGAGAGACAACTACATTATTTTTTTGTCGTGAAATGAATGAATAAACAAAATAAGTCATGCAAGTGCCTATTTAAGAGAGAATAGTTTTTAAGTTGATCATTACACTTGTTTGCGCCAATTTCTTTTTTTAGGTTATGTTTTAACATGCAAGGTTTTCAAAAATTATTTGTATCCTTAATATAGTAGATTTAGGTTAGTTGTATCTTGTGTATTGTGCCTTTTATTGGAAGTTGCTTTTCACACTGCGGGGCAGTTCCACTTGTCCAAGCTGTAGACGGTCTTTCCAAGAATTGTTCCAAATAACCTGCTTGCCTGCTGTAATGTTACCTTTTGGATGACAGCTTTCACCTTGTTAAAATTAAGAAATACTTTTATTTTTCCAGAGATCCAGTTTTATCCTTGGGCTCATTTGAAAACAAATTTTTCCACCTTGTCAGACATTCCAGTTACTACTAGAAATACAATAGTCCATTGTACATTGGGAGACAGGTCGAGCCGCCTGACTTGGTCTGAAGGAGAACCCTCTTTGGATGAGCTAGCTATATACCAGGAACAAACCTCATTCGCATCTCTCTTAGAACACTCTGAAATATCCTACAGAGTACAGAACTTACTTGAAGTTCTAACAGAGTCAGTGAAGTGTAGAGTTACAACACATCCAGAAGTTTGTAAGAACTGTGTCAGAAGCTGTAATCACTGCAGTGTCGCTGTTTTGTTCTCGGGAGGCCTTGATTCTACGATTCTAGCCATCCTCGCTCATCAATTTGTGCCTGTCAATAAGCCAATAGATATGTATAATGTGGCTTTTCAGCAAAAAAATGGAAGTTTTGAAGTTCCTGATAGGCTTACTGGACAAGCGTCGCTAAAAGAGTTGAAAACTCTTGCACCTAACAGACTATGGAATTTCATTCAGGTAGGATTCATTCATATTAACCTAATAATTATTGAAAATTTGGTTTTTCCTGATTATTTTAATTTTTAAATATGATCAATATTGTTCACATTTATTTATAACAAAGTCGTTTCTAAGATCACCTAGTGATCTGTAAATTACGGGTTTGATCCCAAGATACGTAAAGTATAAAGCACTTTTGACCACCTAGGCTATATTATTAATACACTACATGCAACTTTGTGAACAATAAGGCTTTTTGTTTTAAGATTTAACCCCACATATTATATACCAAAATGTTCGTCTAGGTGTGTAGATTTGCAAACTGACCTTACATTTTTGAAAAAGTCCCTTGTGCTTTGCCCCAGGGGCTTTTATAGTTCCCATGTTATCCTTATGTAGAACATATTTGTATTGTATACATTATGATCAGCTGGATAATTTAATTGCTGTTAATATTTTAGTTGCAATTTAAGGAAACGTGTGCTACAAAGAATATTTAACATATTTCTAGATTTAATAGTACCTACCAAGATGAAAACATAAAAAAAATATAAGCACTTAATTGTACATTGTATAATTTTACCTGTGCAAAGCCGGGTTTGGCTGTTAGCCTGCCTTTAATTTAGAACATACAATTTCTGGTGTAGTTAATATTACTATCTGGGATAGATAGACGTGACCCGAGAGCAGTTGGATGAAATGCGTACACACACGGTTACAGACCTGCTTCACCCCCTGATGTCTGTACTTGATGACAGTATTGGATGTGCATTATGGTTTGCCGCTCGGGGGGAAGGAGTGTTGAACGGCCTCAAGTATTCATCTCCAGCGAGGGTATGTTGAGTATTAGCGATCTACAAATTGAAAACTGTGTTTTGTTTTATGCCTCCTTATCAATATATTTTCAAAAGTTGATTATTTTACTAAGAGTTATTCCATCAAAGTTCAGTAAAATAAATACAGATTGATGTATCGAATAGCTGGGTAGCTGAGTGGGAGTGCTTGCCTGGTAATCAATAAGTTGGCGGTTGGATACTGAGAAAATGCAAAATCTATTTAGTGGTTCGAAACAGTACCCTGTTGTCCTTGATCATTCGGCTCTAATAAATGGTCCTGGCTAAAGAACCGGTTGATCTATGTCAGTAACACTCATGGCTCATCTTGGCCTTAACATACACGCCCTGATGTGTCACCATTGGATAAATCTAATTACTCTAAAACCCAGGTGGTGCTGGTAGGCATGGGAGCAGATGAGCAGCTGGGAGGTTATACAAGACATCGTAACACTCTGCGTCACACAGGACAGTGGGCAGCGTTGGGGCGAGAACTGGCCTCAGACACGGACAACATTGCCCGTCGCAATCTGGGGCGTGACAACCGCATCATGGGGGACCATGGACGACAACCTCGCGCACCCTTTCTAGACGAGAGAGTTGTAGCTTACATAGACACTCTGCCTCCTTGGCACAGGTGGGCATTTGTTGAATCACTAAGTCGATTCAGGTTTAAGTTTGTAACTTTATGATGGTTTGAAACTGGGCCCGTCTGTCCTAGGCTTTTAAATAATATATAATATATAAATGGCTCTGGCTGAAAAAATCTTGTTTAGTCAGTGACTTAGATATAGACAATAGACAATAGACAATTTTCTTTATTTGTGATTTCTTTAAGAAATACAATGGCGTCAGAAAAATTCAGAATGTTTAACATTTAGATTGTTTTAACAGTTTACATTTTCTTTTGTGTTGAAAGTTCATAATTGGTCAAAAAATTCCTTAAGGGAGTACACCGGTCGGTCCACAAGCCAGTCCCAGAGTTGTTGTTTGAATTGGTTTCCTGTTGCGTTCTTGAGGTTGTTTGGAAGAGAGTTGATGATTTTTCGGCCAATATAAGAGGGTTTTCTGCTGTATTGTGTAGTGTGGTGGATCGGAAGGTTGTAGTCGGCTGCTTTTCTGGTGTGGTAGGAGTGAAAATTCTCATTTCTGGGAAGGTTAAGTTTTTTTGTGTACAGGACAACTCCATGGATGTAGGAGTGCTGTCACTGTTAGGAGCTTAAGGGATTTAAATGCTTCCCTGCAGCTGTCTAAGCGCTCAAGGCCGGAGAGTGCCCTGACAGCTTTTTTCTGGAGTACCAACACTTTGTTGAGGTTTGCTTCTGATGTTCCTCCCCAAGATATTAAGCAATACCTTATATGCGATTCTATTACAGCATAGTATGCTGTCTTAGCTGTTTCCAGACCTCCTATCCATTTCATCCTCTTTATTACATGGACACCAGATGCAAGTTTTTTGGTCAGGTTGTGTATGTGGTCGTTCCAGGAGAGGTCTTCATCAATTGTCAGGCCCAGCAGTTTTGAGTTTTTTTCAACGGTTATTTCAGGAATTTCTTGGATTTGTTCATGTTTTCGGCTGAAATTTAACTGGGTTGTTTTTGATGGATTAATGGCCAGGTCATTTTGAAGGCAGTACTGCAGTGCTTTGTCTGTTGAGGATAAGATGTTGGAGTGTAATTCTTGTGGTAAGTCATGCATAAATAGAAGAGTTGTGTCATCAGCGTACATTATTGTTTCACAATTGTCATTCCTAATAAAATCTGGAAAATCATTGGTGAAAAGGATGAACAAAAATGGGCCCATGACTGAGCCCTGGGGCACTCCCCTGTTAATCGAAAGTTGTGTGGACCTATGTACAGATTTTCTCCCATTTGTGTTTTGCCGGATTTCGACAATTTGTGTACGTCTTTTCAAATAGCTTGCCACCCAGTCTTTGGCCATTCCCTCTATTCCTAGGGCTGTGAGTTTCCTTAGGATGAGATTATGGCCCAGGCAGTCAAAAGCTTTGCTGTAGTCAAGTAAGACTGTTGATACATATCTGCGTGCTTCTAGATGGTCAATGATTTGTTCGATTAAACTAGTTAGAGCTGTGGTGGTGGACCTCCCTTTGAGAAAACCATGTTGGTTTTTAGTGATGAGATCATTGCTTTCCAAGTGACTCAGCATTCTTGACAGAGCGACCTTTTCTATTACTTTTGAAAAGGTTGATATTAATGAGATAGGGCGGTAGTTTTCTTGTTTAGTGCGTGAGCCTTTTTTGTGCTTTGGGTATATTTTTGCTATTTTTAGGGCGGAGGGAAATTGTCCAAGGCTAAAAGATTTGTTTATTATGCTGACAAGTGGGGCTGCCAGTTGTTCGGCACAGTGTTTTACAACTTTTGATGGCACTTCATCTACTCCACATGACAGCTTTGATTTCAGTGAGGCTATTGTTGCTAAGACTTCTTTAATGGTTGTAGGAGTTAAAATTAGTGGCTGGACATTGCTTTGTGGTAGAAATAGTGGATGTGTAATTTTTTTGTTTTTGAATTGGCTTCTGTTTTTCTCTAAAGTGGAGTCTGCTATTTCTGCAAAATATTGGTTTAGGTGTTCAGCAATGTCAGTAGGGTTATCTAATATTTTTCCCTCTATTTCCAGCTGCAGATTTGGTTCTTCCTTCTGTTTACATTGTTTTTCTTTGTTGATGATCTCCCAGACAGCTTTGGATTTATTATCAGCACTTGTGATGTAGTCTGCAGTGGCTTGTCGCTTGAGGGACCTGAGCTTTAAATCATATGTTTTCTTTTTTTCCGACATTGTTGTTTTATCATTTACATTTCCGGTAAGCTCGTATCGGTGTAAGGCATCTAGAAAATCTTCTTTTAGTATTTTGACTTCTTCATCATACTGAACCTTAATTTTCTGTCCTTTCTGCTTAGCTCTTATTTTTTTGATAGGGCAGGCATGGTCCAGTATGAGCCTTACAGTCCTTTGGAATGCAGAGTATGCCTCTTCAGCATCAGGGGCATTGTGCACCTTTATCCAATTTTCTTTGGAGAGTTCGTCTTTCATGCTATCCAGGTTTTTTCTTGAAAAAAATCTTTTTTGTGACATATCCGTTTTAGCAGTAACTTCACTCTGTATTTTGAGGGTACATGTTTGGCCTGTGTGATCTGCTATTCCAGCGTTAATTATAGCGAAATCTATAGCATTATCATGTGTATTCGTACAGATACAGTCTATAGAGGTTCTTGAATGGTTAGTGATTCTTGTCGCTGGGAGTGGTAGTCTTGTAACTCCAAAAGTTGACAGTTCCTCTTCAAGATAGTTACTACTGGCATTTTCAGTTAGCCTGTCTATATTGATATCGCCCATTAATACAACGGTCTTGGTGTCAGCTTGAAGTGACTCCAGAACTTCTGATAGGATGTCAATGGCTAACCTAGCTTGTCCCCCTGGTGGTCTATACATGCCAAGTAAGTAGAAGTTTTTGTTCTTTATCCTTATTTTCACTAATGCTGCTTCAAAAACTAACTCTAAACTTTGGTTGGAGATTTTTATTTCTTCTGCCTTGATAGCAGCAGTTTCCTGGATATAGATTGCAACTCCTCCCATTCTATGCTCTTCCCTGCAGGAATATGTGACTAGGTTGTACCCACTAATCTTAGTGAGTAATAACATATCTGAGCTGAGTCCATGTTCAGTAATCACCAAGATAGTGGGTTTGAGTTCACTCATTAGATGATTTATTCTTTCAATCTTTTTCCTAAGACCTTGAACATTTTGGTGAAAAATTGTGATGGAGGTTGTTTTATTTTGTGTAATAACTAAATGTCCCTGATAATCTCTTCTTTGTGCTTTGGGGTTTGTGTTTTGGTTGTTGTCATTCAGGGGGGAAGTTGATTCTATGTTTTGTCGTCTGTTTGTTTCTTCACACCTAAAAAATGGTTTAGGGTCTGATTTGAGTCTTTCAGTATTGATTGGTTATGTTGTTTACATTGTGGTAGCTTATGGTGTGAGATCCCATTTATGTACTCTATGTGTTGGTTTAAAAAGTCTTCAAGTGATTCATTTGGTTGTAGTTTTTTAGCGGTACAGGGAGGTCCTTTTTGTACTTTAAATGTCTGTCTGTTAGCAGGAAGTTTATCAATGATGGGAGATTCTTGTTGTGCACATTGAGTGGACTTAGGGCAAGGAGTAGACTTTAGACTGCTCTGGAGAGTATTTATGTTTATGTCCTTTTCTTTACTTTTTTTCATCTGGAGTGACACACTAAAAATATTCCTATTCATTACCCTTAGCTGTTTCCTTATTCTTCCGTTTGCATCGGTTTTCGGGCTTTTACAAGACGGTGTGGGTTGTGTATCACTGGGGAAGTTTGTATTCTTGGCATTCTCTTGCTGAAATATTTTACTTTTAATTGCTGTTAAAGTGTTTTCTGTTTCTTCTTGCCAGGTCTTCAGCTTCGCTAGCTCAAGTAGCAGGGACAATGAGCTGTTTTGTGTTGGGAGCTCAGAGCTGTGGGTTTGAGATTCGGAGTTTTTGAATGTTAAAGTGTTTTTTTCTTGATGATTTCCAGAAACATTATATTTTGTTGGGTTCTTAATAGTTTGTTGTAGGTTCTTTATTTCTTTTTCTAGATTACAAATTACTTGATCTTTGTCCTTGTCTTGATCTTCAAACATTGTTGTTAGTTCAGCTCTGAGTTGTCCCTTACAACTCATGGTTATGATTTGTATTAATATACTATGTATCCCTATCCCACCAACCCTGGTCATTTTTGTATTCATATTTGGATTGAATCATCGACTTTAGGATAATAAAGTAGATATAAAGGTTACTTACAGTCTTCGCAATCCTGTTAATTGAGCACTACGGCCGTTTCGGAGATAACTCCATCGTCGGGTGCGTAGTCATTATACACTAATCTGAGCTATTTACATATACAATAGCCACATCCAACAGTACACATCCAACAGTACACATCCAACAGTATTGCCACGACTACTCTGAAATTAATAGTTTAGAAATACTCCACATTGGTAGCAAAGGTCACAAACTTAATTGTATTGAAAATTTCCACATTTACACCAGTACAGCTAAAGAACCGAACTTAATAATTAATTCCCAGACTAATTCAGCAGCCAATCCAATTTTTGAGAAAATAATACAAATCAAACAGGACAAGGTATAATTTGAGCAGCTATGTTGGTACACGTGTTATCAGCTTTTCCAGTCGTCCACCAAACCTTTGCAGTGATAAAGTTCGATCAGTCGGTCGTCAGTTTTTAGCCGTGCACGTGCCTTAATGTTTTTGTGTCGTGTTCGTGTTTTGTGTTGTATGTACTATTTATTAAACTTTGACGCAATGAAAATGAAGAAACCACGTAAAAAATGTAAATATGTAAATAGCTCAGATTAGTGTATAATGACTACGCACCCGACAATGGAGTTATCTCCGAAACGGCCGTAGTGCTCAATTAACAGGATTGCGAAGACTGTAAGTAACCTTTATATTTATTACACGCAATCTGCCACACTGATTAATCTTTAATAAAGTAGATGTCACATCCGTATATACCATCTATAGCGAATTTGTTATTTAAATAGAACATAGTAGAATGTTCTCATAATGTGCTTACAGAGAGTCCTTCTGTCAAAACTATTTTCTCCCTTAGTTGTTAATACTACTATGAAAGTTTATGGACGTCACATAAATGTTCTACATTATGTTCTTTCAATTTGACTTGGTTAAAAGCTTGGTGTGTGCAAGGGAAATCAGTAAATTGTCAATAACACACTCTTGGTGGTTCAATTTAGATACATTTATTTTTATTTTAAAACTGATTACAGTTTTAATGGTTGAGTGAGATATACTCAGTCAAGTAATGTACATACTTTTGTTTTGTCCACCTAAACAATTATTTTTGGATATTTTTAACTCCTCTTGCTAGCCCCATGCACAGAAAACATACTACAATAACCCAGAATGCCAACCGCATGGTAAAAAGCGTTAAGTACTTTGAGAGGGCTTTGCCTGTCGATTCGTAGGCAGCGCCACCAGCGTTGCTATGCTGACTGCATATCAAAAAAAAAAAATATATATTAAAATGTTAAAAATATCCAAAAATAATTGTTTAGGTGGATAAAACAAACTGATTGCATAGCAACGCTGGTGGCGCTGCCTACGAATCGACAGGCAAAGCTCTCTCAAAGTACTTAACGATTTTTACCATGCAGTTGGCATTCTGGGTAATAGTAGTACGTTTTCTGTGCCCCATGGCAGTATTTACCTGTTCATGATTATTATATCAACTTGACCTCTCAACAAGATGTTTGTTTGGATTTCCAGATGTATTCCAGTGACTGCTTGGCCGCCTGGGAAGGGAGACAAACTACTGTTGCGTCTGTTAGCGCACAGGCTAGGACTGTCCAACGCTGCAACATTTCCCAAGAGAGCGCTGCAATTTGGGTCTAGAATCGCAAACTCTAGAGAAAAAGCCGACCATGCATCCCCACGACTGTGAAATAAAAAGCATTTTTACTGATGAAGGTTTCTTTTTAAATTTTGTTAGGCCTATAGTTATAATTACAATCTTCTTGTAGATTGCTCAAACATACTTTGAACCTACCTCATACTCAAAATTGTGTCGTTAAATACCTCTTTCCTATAAAAAGACCACCCAGAGGCTCTATAAATAATATATGAATTGAATTGAATTGAATTTTAAGCCTAGCAGACCAAGCCAAATATTGACTGCTCTTTATAAATCAGTCTTCACCATTATCATTTTATCACAACACGGTTTTGTACTGTTCGATAGTGTTTAATCTTGACGTGTCTTTTCATAAAGGGAATTAATCTTGACTGGGACTTGACTGTAAGTCCCTTAGTTGCTATTGGCTGTATGGGCTATTAATTAACAGCTGTGTCTACGGAAAATATCAGCCATAGTCACTAACAAGACAACAAGATCGCCCCACTCATCCTACACTTATATTTGGGTTAAAATGTGCACGTAGTGGTGTCCCCATCTTAAATAATTTATATAACTAATATTGATATACAAGTCAAACATTTTATTTTATTAATTTCTTTGAAATGGTCTTCTAGCTCCGAGGTAGGATTGGCACACAGAACAAAAATGGAATGTGTAGTTGCAAACATTCAGGAAATACGGCAGTAGACAGAATGGCCAACATCTGTAACAGAAATAATTCTATACAATAGTATATAACTAGTGCACCTGTTGCTCGAATTCGAGCAATTGCAAAATATTAAAGGCGTTTTTTTTTTTAACGAATAACAGTCACAATGTTTTGTTGACCTAAAAGAGTCAACTCAAAAGATAATGTAATCAATCACTCTACTCCAGTTTCAAAACTGGAAACGAACTCACCCTGAAAACGAACGCTCACTCCACTCCATCTATCGAAACTGAAAACAAACACTCTTGTGTGTGTCATGTGTTTACTATGAACAGCTGTAATTAATAAAATTATTTGTCTGTTTAAGTAAACAAAATCTTTTCTTCATAAGAAATACATTGGGATTTTGATGGCCTGTGGGGCAAAGCCCGAAGACTTTTATTACAGGCATTTGTGAAAAGGGGTGTCTACACAAAAAATAATTAATTTTGACACCTCGTTTGTAAAAATCCATCAATTATTATTAACGGAGGAGTAGTGTTTCGTAGAAATCACCTTCACGTATTATATATAAGGATATACAAGAGTACACTAAATTTTTTAATAGAGAACAATTAACTTTTGGATACTATTTTATTCCAACAAATACTTATCCATATATGAATATGGTACATCAGCACAGACCTACTCGAGTTTGTTATTTACAAGTAAACTTATTGATTTCAGGAAAGTGAAGGTAGACAAAAACTCTTAAGAAACTATATATATATACATATATTTTGCCATTTGAGGCCTAAAGTGACTTTTTGTCCCCAGCTCAAGTTAATCGACTTTATAAGCGAGATTCGAAATGACACTTTTTGCCCGTGTGCTGAACTACATTTTTCTCCATACTGCACCATCCTTTAATTGCTAAATAATTCACAAAATAAATTTTGTACAGTGTTTACATTTATAAATAAGCTCCCAAAATGGGGTTCATCTGGTTTTACATGCTGTTATACATCAACAGCTGTTACTGTTTGGATACAAGATACAATATGTGTTTGTGTACACCCTGCAAACACAATTTTAAGTAAATTCACATTTAATTAACGAACAAAATTCATTTACATTTTAATTTGAGAAATTATATTATAACATATTTGATTATTGGAGACTATAGTTCGGCCGCTTAGAAAGCGACCTGCTCCCTAATGCTAACCAATGCTAGAGGAGGTCGCTTCCTAAGTGGCCGAACTATAGTTTTTTTTTAATCAGCAATCAAATTTTACAGCTACAAAAGGGTGCTGCTGACGTCCTCGACTCCAGATGCTATTTTGCCCTGGAAAGAAAATTATCTTCTTTAATCTCTCAAAGAATGGATTAAAAAACATCCGTTTTTGCTGCAGTATTATGAAAAACTGTTTGTGGGTATTCTAGTAAAAACAATACTACTTACAACAGAAGAAACATAATCATGGCGACAATATGAGCTGTTCTCGACACTCTGAGGTCTACTTGTGTGATGATAACTGTCTCACAAACAGGACAATAGGCTGGCTGTGGCTGACCTTGCCATGTATCTGTGTACAACATTAACAACAATAGGAACATCATTTTGTTATATTTTAACTATACTAGACTCGCTGTCAAGCCTGGATTTAGTAGTTAACAACACTCTGGGCTGTAAACAGCTTTTCAGGCCCTACCCCCATCTTGGGGACTGGGGCCTTCCCCAGGAAAATTGTGAATTGTGAAGTTGAATCAAAGAATTTGGAAGAAAAGATTTGTGAAGGAAAACAGTGAAGGTTCACTCTGAATAATCAACTGATGGACAGTAGAACAAACGGTTTGGAGCCTCATTTCAACACCATTGGTTTGTTGACACCAGTTTTTTTGGTGCATTAAACACATCGAAGCCATCTTGAGATTAAAGAAGCTGAAACACGATTTACTCTATTTGGAAGTTCAAATAATTATTAAACTTTGTTTTATTTTATGTGCTTTTATCAAATTAATTGAAAGAAAATTTTACAAAAATTTTGGAAATTTGGCATTTCTAAATATTATTTGGCACTCTGAACTATAGTCGGGTCAGCCCTGACAAAGTCATACTCAAACAAAGTTGAACTACAGTTCAATGATTACTATTTTAAATGATTAATTGAGATTGATCTTTTTAGGCATGGAACCTAAAAAAATTTCAATACATTCGAATTTGCGTAATTAGAAACCATGTATAACAAGAATCAATCACTATTCGTATTCCTGAACCAAAATGATACTAATTCATATTAGGAAATTTAAGTTGATTAATTATTATAGACTTACTACCGAGTCCCAAAGTGAATCCTCCAGAGCGACCGAGAGTGTGTGCGTATCGAAGTTCACTTTCCACACCATCGTAGCTAGGTGGGGGGATGGGGGCCACAAACTGAATAGAAGTGCAAGGGTTGATTCTACGATCCAACAAACTTTTGGAGTATGAGGGAGGAGGGCCCGTTAGTTGAGGAACACGGTTTGTGGAATTATCTTGAATATTTAACAAAGCATCTGTTCTTTGGTGGGGCAGAATGATTGAATCATTGGGAATGTTTAAAATATGAGGTCTTCTTGAGGCAGCAGGTACTGAACCCCCCGAGTGAACTGGAGAAAAAGGCATTCTTTGTTGATTAATAACTGAAGAAGGTTGGGCACACGTTAGGTTGGTAACCATTGGAGAACTGGATTGTGGTTGGTTTGTAACTATTGTAGAAATTAATTGTTGTTGATTTGTAACTAAGAGAGGATTGGTTTGTGGTAGGTTTGTGATCACAGCAGAACTGGATCCTGGTTGGTTTGTAGCCCTAGGAGAATTTGATTGATGTTGGGGCATAGTAACTGGAAAACTGGATTGTGGAAGCTGAGGAATCGCTGAGGAACTAGATTGTGGTTCGTTTGTAAGTACAGGAGAGTTTGACTGTGGAAGGTTAGTAACTACTGGAGATTTAGATTGTTGCTGGTTTGCATTCAAAGGTAAAAGGGGTTTTGGTTCGTTGGTCATTGTCGTCGTATCTGAATACGGCTGACTTAAGTCCACTGATGTTTCAAAACAAGTTTGATCTCTATCTAATGGAGATACTGCTTTTCCTGTGTCACTGCATCCCAATTCATCAAATAAGTTTGTAAGGGAATCACCCTGAGTAGTATCTGAAGATTGTGCGACAGCTTCAGAAATTGTATTATCATGTACACCAGTAATTTCATTTGGAACTGTTGCCAAGTTGTCTTTAGTTGATATGGGAGGGGAAGATTCTTCAACTTGAATTACTCCTGAATGTTTCTGTTCAGATTGGGCAAATCTTTGTTCAGTGATGCTTCCTGAACAACAAAGTTGGTCTTGTTCACATCCACCTGTGATAAGAATGTTCTGGAATTCTCTTTGTACATTGGTGTCTATTATTGTTAAAACTGTGTGGCTATTGCTTAAAGTTTCTGTGTCTTGAAGTTGATCTTTTTTCCTATTAGATTCTGAACCCTACAAAAACAAAATAAATATTATGTGATTTTATAATAATAATAATAGTATTTTTCATCACTAGGGCGTAATGTTACTCTTTTCTACCCAAACTCAAGTTTCACGACTGAGCTGAAGCCGAGGTCGGAAAATGAGCGAGGGTTGAAAAGACACTTTTTCCCATGTGTTGAACAACATTTTTTGTCATACTGAACCAGCACTTCGTCAAACTAAGTTATAAAACATAAATGCTAGTTAATAAACTCCCAAAACAACTTCCAACTTATTTTCAATTTTGCTAATGCAAACAAGCAGTTTTTTATACTTTGTTCACAATATTTAGACACTTTTAGGGGAAGAATCTACCCCCCCCCCCCCCAACCTATGTGATCGATTTGTTGAACTATATTGACAAGAATGCAACAATAAGCTATTCAAGCGATTAAAAAAACTCATTCATTTTTTCAACACATGCATGATTGCTTACAATCAAGTTTACAACTAAGTTAATAACAGTTAAATTTTACTCCCTAGGGAGGAAAAGAGCTACTTTAGACCCACAATGCATGTATTAAAAACGGCAGTTTTTTGCTGCGGTGTGACGAAAAATGGGACTATAATCAATCTTGGTTTTAAAACATTGATAGTCTGATTTTCAAGTTATCTGCTACCTTATTGTGCTCCTGCCCAGTGCATCTTGAGCCAAGAGTAAATAAAATTGAAGATGATTATAAGTTGGATGAGATGCCTTATGTACTTTACTACTATCTGGGTAGCCAAGTGGTTATGGTGCTTGCCTTAAAATCTGAAGTATGCTGTTTCAAACGAGATCGATTCTGGATCCGGATGAAGCCTATTTATATTATATGATCAAAGGCAAATAAAGATTTTTGATCTGTCATTGGACTATCGATTAATTATGCTTTAAAACATCAGGTGGATGTAAGATAGTACCAAGACCCAGGTCACCGCATAAACTGTACCGTTCCTTTTCCTTTACATAAACTGCTAAAATTCCAATGGCGTAGAGATAAATACCAATTTAAAAGAACACTTGTTTACCCATTAGTATTATCATCCAGTATTTCTACTAATTTTGTTGTTACTATTTCTACTTCTACTTACATTTTAAAAAACTGTGGAAATCTCATCTTCAGAGTTTTTATAAACAAACATGTATTTTAGTAACTTACAAAAACTGTTGTGTATTCATGATTAATTAAATTGTACTTATATTACCAAGCTAGTGTTAAAAAACAAAAACTCTGTTGAACTATTACATAGTCAATGCTATTACTTACTTCCATCTTCAAAACTTTTACAACAAACTAAAAATGGTAGAAAGCGGGTTTGAAACGTATATTTATTTCACTAATTTTGATTCTTTTATCTTGCTAAAAACATGCTATCTTAACATCTTTTCAACTAAGATTTTTGTTGAAAATGAGTTGGAGATTATGTTTCAAAACATGTCTTTAAAAATCTTAAATTCTGTACTTACAAAAAACTAGTGAAAATGTAAATATTTAGAAATATGACAAAACAACTGGTGATGACATGTGGGATTTCCCTCTGTTATTGTTATTAAACTAATATTAGTGTAGAATAATAATAAAAGAATGATCAATATGCTATCATAGAGCACAATTAATTAATCTTTACTTTACAATGAATACCCCGGTACGGTTTTAGCCAGTCTAAGTTTGAGTATCCCATAAAAGTATTGCTTGAGAATCAAGTTCACGTCTCATGGGTACTTTAAGAAACTCTCAGGAGGTTTTGTGTGTCAGCTGCTGACCTTACTGGGAGATCACAGGCACCACATTCCAGTTACATCTGCATAAGTAACATCACCCCTCGCTGGATCTATGTGCAAATTCCCTTTTATTGTGATGTGCTTGAATAAAAATTAATAAGCAACTACACATTTGCTTAGTCTGCAGGTCTGCTGCGATTGGTAATGACTTATGTGTAAGTCTGTCCATCTGTGTTTTTTTAATGAATAGTTTATTCAGTAAATAATCTGGTGTTGTAAATTAATTAATTCAAACATATGGTTGTTATTTTCAAAAACATCTTTTTAAACAAAAGATTATTTTCATTTTCAATAGAAACTTTAAATATATTTTTACAATATTAATTCTTGAAATACATGAGCTCAAAAGCTGCCAATGAGGAATTTGATCGGGCGTATGAAAATGTAGGATTGTTGGCTAGTGATGTCTGGTCCTACAAAAATGATGATTTAGATTATAAAAAGGCTAATTTAAATTTATGGATCCGTTTCAATGACACCGAAAAACGTCTTTTTGACGATGATTGCACTGATATTCCATCGAGCTATATTGAAGATACAGGTTCAAGATACAATGTTCAAGATATTTTACCCTTTTCAAGACTAGCCACCTATGGTAAATTTGAGTACGATGAAAGAAGAGAGCAAATTTATGTGAGTGATGACGGTGTACCTCTACCAAGGTGTACTCCAAACTCTAATCACTTAAGTGATGAAGAGGTTGAAGTATGGATGTTGCCAGAGGTGGAAAAGGAGTTTAAAAGATACTCAAAGAGTTCACATTCTGGGTATGATCAATAGATGTATTTAATAAGTACAGTTGTGTGGGTGTAAGTAGTTAAGCTCAGGCTTTATATCTAGAATCTATATGGCCTTCATGTATCACCCCTCTTGACCCCATTGTTGAGCAGGCCACTATAATAACTCTACTCAGTACCGGTATTCAATCCCAAGACTAGTTCAGTAATTTTCAACTTGAAAAATTATAATATTAATAATCAAACAATAAATCAACTATAACAATAATTATAGCCTACAACAGTAACTGTTTTCATCAATCAATCAAGCAGTTTAATTGCCTTGGAACTGATCATCATGAGCATTACTGGCAGCTAAACTTCAATTGAGATAACACATTCCTTCTCTCCAGACATACTGGCAGGTGCTTGAGCAGTAACCAGATGGTTCGCGGTACCAAGGCGCCACTTTCCTGCTCTCTCCATTGCTGTGCTCTCTCCCGCACTCCCTTCGCTCACCCGCGCCTCCCCTTCTCACGCGCACCCTTCACCACTCCAACGCTGCCCCCTTGACGTTTCGCGCTCAACACTACGTTGTCTTTATTTATTGTTTACATATTGTTCTTTATTTATTGCCTAATGCTGTCATGGTCATATCTTCAAAGACGGGTGGCGGATATATCCGCTGCTTTTCTACTCATACGGGGACGGGTTGCAGATATATCCGCATCGTTAAAAACGAGTAAAAAATTATTTTGACAGAATGAAGCGTTCCATTGTGTTTATTTTATGTATACTTGTATAACAAAACACAAATAAGGAAAATTAATTTTTATTTTTTCCTATAATTTTATCCCGTTCTATGTCACGATTTTGCCCGTCCGGGAAGGGTTAATCTTAGTTCAATTCGCAAAACTAATTGAATAATTTTAGAGTTTCAGTCATTAAAGTATATATTAGGTAACCGGTAGGCTATTATTTTGTTTTTTGGCTATTTTATTATTTTATGATACACCACAATACCAGTGACCGTATGTGTGTAAATATATAGACTATAGTTAGTGTTAGTGATAAGAATATAGCTTAAGAAGACCCTCTTGAAGATGCCACAGAAGCTGTCAAAATGCATAAAGGGACATGTAAACATATTACTCAAGAACACAGGCAACAACAAAAAAGGTAGCCTAATCTAATATTTTGTATCATTTACAATTTTTTATTTATTTTTCATTGATTTTTTTTATGTACCCGTTAAGGAAAAACAATAAAGGAATGATGATGATGATGATGATGATATTTTGTATCACACAGGTGGTGTACCCTTAGTCCAAGATATCCTTCAGGCCGAGAGCTGGTCTCTCTTAGACAAATAACCAACTCAAATCCACATCAATGGCTGAGTGAGTCTCAATGGCAGAATCGACTGCTTTCACATTACGCCGAAAAACTGCCTTACTTAAAACTCTCCACTGAAACATCAATGTTCCGTGATGGTAAGTTTAAGCTGAACCATCAAACTTGGCATTTAACAAATTTTATCAGATATCTCTTTAAAGTGAGTAGTAGGTACCTAGTACAAGTGTGTAACTTTATTATTGCCAGGTATATTTTAAATGGACTGGAGGTCTAAACAAATTTTGGATTCACATTTAGTGCAAAAAAGACCACAAGACTCATGCTAAATTTAGACAAACAAATAACAATAAATGATAAATCTTCATAATTGTATATATTTACTATCTACGATCAATATAGCCCTGTATGTGTATATGTGTGTTACTTTAACACAAATCAACGACTAAATAATTTAGGAATTAGACAAAATATGTTAATTAGATAAAAGAAATTATCATTGTCAATTTATTAAAACACAATATCAGTTTCTATGATAAAAGAAGGAACCTAGCTGGGATAAAAATGTTTTGTAAACCATTTCCATACCAAATTATAAGTAAAACAAATTAAAATAATCTCAGCTGCAAAAAGGGTTATTTTTAGGGTTTTTCTCCCAATATAAACAAAAGTAAAAATCAGGTTACTGTTATTAGTAGTATTATTCTGCCATCTCTTTTAGATACATTCTTGGACATAATAACCAATTAACATTATTTTCACACTGTTTCTACATAGACTTGGATCCCCCAGTGTATGATGATGAGGAAGTGGAAACAAAACTATTGGACTATCCATTTCCAAGATATTTAATCGACAGCAAAGCTGAGCAGAAGCTTCATAGGATAATCAACTCGCCAACGATCAAAAGTCTTTGGGCCAATCCTAGCTTCCCTTGTCAGTATCACTTCCCGTTATACAACTTCATTTGATTTTTAAAACTAAAATGTTACTTAAAAAGGGTTTTTTCAACCACCGTGCTTGCCTGATGTATTTTTTTAAGATTTTCAAACAATTCCTCTTTAATATGTTTGTTCTTGATTGAATAAATTTGGTTGATTAATACTTTGATCTTTTAATGAAATGTACTTCTAATGTTCTGTTTGGTCAGTAATCTAATCTTAAAAAAGTATTTAACAATCAATAAAAATATCATAGATTGTAAGATTGGTGAAATTTTTTCAAACATTTACTTCTATTTATAAACCGGCTCCCTTAAAGATTACATCTTACCTGCAGTTAATGTTCAGCATAATATTATAGTATTTTAAATTCTGTAAATTTCTGCAGTTTGTATACATTGTTGCAGAAACAATTATTTTTAATTCTTTATAAATGTGCTATTTCAAGACTAGAAGCTAAAATTGTTGATTTGCTTCATATATACCTTATGGGCACTTTTAAAAATACATTAATGAATTATTAGAATTATCAATAGTTTTTCTAATAAAACTTGATATAGCTTCATAAATTGCCAAAGTTTATCCAAACTATTTGGTTGCAGATGGCAGCTACAACCAAACGTTTGGATTGAATGTGTTTGTAGCCGAGTTCGAACCTGTCAATTTCAGGCAAGTTAATTTATCCCTACTTGATTACAATTTATTTTTGACAGTCTGTAAATAGACATTAGATGAGATTTTTTTACTCTTTATATATAGCATAAACCAGTTTAATCTAATAAATCTAATCGATTGAATTGATATTGATAATATTGATTGGGTTATCTAATATTGATAACTTGAAACAAACATTTTTACAATTGACAGGATGACATGCACATTACAATAAAGCAGACCAAAAACACAGCAATTATAAGGTTCAACAACACTCTTCTAGAAATACATAAAATATAAGCAACATAAAAAATAAAAGGTGTAAAAATGTGGCATATTACAAAATACCGCAAATGGTATCATCAATCTGACACACACTTTCTCCCATTAGCTTCTCAACAACCTTTACCATGGATAAGCGGTGGAGTTATTATGATATTTTTTGGGAAAATCACAAAAGTAGTAATAACTTTTTAATCATAATTTTATAGCAATAGGGGGTTTGCACTATTTTGTTTAGAATTATAAGGACCATCATAACATACTTTATTCAATTTGAATCAAAACAGATTTTTTTTTAATCCGATTTTCTGTTATTTGAGGTTTTTTTGAATGAGAAAATAACATAAGTTACACTATCTTTTGAACCATAATTTTTACGGTAATAGGATTTGTACCACTTTGTTCAGAATTATAAGGGACATAATATAACTAACTTTAATCAGAACCATTTTTTTTTTTTAAAATCAGATTCTATTTGTTTATTAATTCATCAAACACACACATAGACATCACTTCGAAAACCACTTTTTTGGGTCCAGGGGGACCTAAAGTGGATAATATATCCACTAAAAACTCAAACTCAAAATTTTTACGAAAACAATACTTTCTTGATATACTAAGGTGTAGGGAGAAAGTAAAAATGTATGGTTTACATTATTGAGACAATGTGACAGGCAATGATAACAATGAAAAATATTTAAAAAAAAGTATAAATAAGTGGCATTATAGTTATGGTTTGTTGTATAGATTTTCCAAAGAACAACATACACTTATCTCATAACCATAATGCTAGATTTATTAGACATGGCTTATTTAGCTAAAGTGTTATTAGCTTAGCTTTGTTGTTTTTGCCTATGTTCCCAAGTAGGATGTTTGTATCACACTCGCCCTATGTTTTTCTCCAGCTTGTGTGGCATCTTCGGTCTTCGTAGTTTATCTTATTATAACTAACATTATCACTATACAAATCAATTACAAAAATAGCTATGGTGAATGCATTGGGTAACACAAACACCTTACCTACTCAGGAATACAGGCAACAACAAAGGTAATCCAATATAATTTAAGCTCTTGAAACTTGAATAGCACAATAAGCAATACTAATCTTTTTAGCTTCGCTACTGGCTCTAAGGCTGTTTAATTTCACTATTTTTATGGGTTTTATACTATTCAGTACATACAGCCTTTAAAATGTTCATATAAAATTAATGAATCTCTGTTTTAGTTCAAAATTTAAAGTTAATGAGGAAAGATCACTATCAATTTTAACTCAACAGTCAGTCAACCAATCAAACGCTCATGGTATTCCTGAAGATGAGTTGTTCTGTGAAGCAAAACCGCAATTCATCTCCATCTTTGATATGAACTATGAGGCAGAAGTCTTCCCTTACTCCAATATCAATAAATTTGTTGTTGAACCATCAACTATGTTTTATGAGGTAAACGTTTTCTGGTGTCATACTATTATACAATTTTTTATGAACTTTAATCAAAATCTTTTTAATTTTTCATTTTATAACCTCTATGGTGACAGTGAAGTACTGTACTATTACTGTATACTGTACTAGTACTGTCCCTTAGGGAGTATGTTTAATCTATGGCTTTATCAATTATTTTATCTTTTATTTGGTTTTTTTGAATTGAGTAACATTACAATTTTTCAGGTACAGGGGTAATTCGTTGTACAATCTTAGTCCCATGTAATGAGGGCTGTTCCTAAATATTGCCAACTTATGATGTGGTAATCTGAAATCCTTATATAATAGGTGAAGGCGATTTCTACAAAACACTACGCCTACTCCTCCGTTAATAAGGGACGGATTTTTACAAACGATGTGTCAAAATAAAGTATTTTTTGTGTAGACGCCCCCTTTCACCAATTCCTGTATTAAAAGTCCTCGGGCTTTGCCCCACAGGCCATCAAATTCCCAATGTATTTCTTATGAAGAAAACATTTTGTTTACTTAAACAGACGAATAATTTGTATTCATTACAGCTGTTCATAGTAAACACATGATACACACTAGAGCTTTCTTATTCAGATTGAGTTCGTTTCGAGTTTCGATAACTGGAGTGGAGTGACTGATTACATAATCTTTGAGTTGACTCTTTTAAGTCATCGGAAATTAATTGCGACTGTTTTTAGTTTTGAGCGCCTGTAATACTTTGCAATTGCTCGAATTCGAGCAACAGGTGCACTAGTTATATTTATTCCTTGTATTGTAATTATGTGTAAATTTAATTTCATCTGACAAACTCTCTTTGGTGCTATGGATCCAATATAGAATTTCATTTATGTATAATCTGAAAATGGTGTGAATTCTAAGATTTCTAAACAGGTTTTTTCATGATTTTCTCCTTCTTAATTTAGTTAAGATTCTAACGATTTTAATTTTGTAAAATTAGTAGGGATTTAACCTCCGTTGACATTCTCCACAGTATGACTCCATACCTCGAGATAGATTCAATGCATCCATTTGTATCCTGGGGTACACGATTTATCAAATGAAAGAATGCAAAAGAGATAGATCTTAGTTTCCCTTTTATTTTATCTATGTGAATCTTCCAATTAATATGAGCGTCTAGTAATACGCCCAAAAATCTATGAGATTCTACTACATTTGGAATTTTATAAAGAATTACACTGTTTTTCAAAGAAAATTTAATTATATGAGTTTTTTCAATATTTAGTTTTAAACCGTGTTTTCTGAAAACCAATTTTTATTATAATAATATGAAAAATTGGTTTTCATAGTCCAAAGTGTTTTCCATTGATAGAAATAAGCTATTTACTGAGTCCTCTCTTATGATTGCTGTTAAACACATCATAATCAACATCATCATCATCGTCTCCCGCGATCACAGAAACATCGTCATCGTTTTTTGCGATCGCGGCAAAATTATAACTATATCACCACGGTCGTGTAGACACCATGCATTGTCTCCCGCGGTCACTATAACATCGTTTTTCACGATCACGATTAAAATGTTTAATATATCCCACCATTGTGTTGACACCATCATCGTCTCCCGCAGTCACAGAAAATCATAATCGTACTCCGCAATCGCAGCAAAGTGTAAATTTTCCGATTGCAAAATTGTCGCAGATACATTCTGCAATCGCAATAGTAAAAGTTCTGCATGACTCGGCTTATTTTCTTTAAAAGACTATAAATTTTGGTAAAAATCCAATCTTTTATCTGGTCTAAATTGATTTGGATAGTTGGATTTCTACTGTACAGTATCTTTATATACACAGTTTCTACTTAGTAAACTAGAACAATTTTACCTTTATCTTGAATAAAACTAAACTAGTGCTATGCAATCAGTTCAATGAAGAAGTTCAAGATAATATGGCAATGATAAATAATCCTTCAGTAATATATTTTAATGTGGAATCGCTTGGATCAAAATGGGACCCTGAAGACATCTCATCTGACATCGCAAGACATCTGTGTGATTTAGGTTGGTTTTTGATTTATTGCCTTACCTTATTCATAATAATTGTTGACCTCAGAAGATAAGTTATTCAAACTAAACTCAGAGCAAGGTCTCATTATTGATGTGAGATAATATAAATTCACCTGAACAATAATAAATACATCTCTAAATTCAAACAAACCATAAAAATCTTGTCATATTGCAGCAAAAACAGCCATTGCTTTTTCCGTTGATTCAAAAACTATTGTAAATTTCCCTATAAAATATCATAGTTTTCCCATTACTGCTTACCCATGTCTTAAGGTTGTTGACAAGCTATAATGGGAGAAAGTGTGTGTCAGGTTGCTGAAACCATTTGTTTTTCAATTTAAAAAGCCGGCTAACCATAAAATTTGTATGTAATATATGTACTAGACAAATACTGGTTTGCACGGGTGTGGAAGGGACAGTGTGTGGCAATGCTCTAATCTGAATTAACAAGCGGATACAACTAAAAACTTTCAGACAAGAACAGTGCTTAAATATTTTTTTCTATCCAAGTTTAAAGAACCTATATATTAAAGATTTACCTTTATAACAGAGTAACAGTGCACTAATAGAAGCATATTCCGATTGCTGCTATTATGTATCCTACTTCCTGTGAGTGACTCTGTTACTGCTCACAGCATTTATGAATAAAAATAAATCCTCATTTCACTAATATTTTTCTAGTTGTTCATAGCCTATTGATTAAATCAATCTACATAAATTATTGAATTTGCTTTTAGGAGGGCAGTTTTATAAAACACAAGATGACATGAAAACATGGGTAGCAAAGATTTACCATCCAAGGTCAACTGATTTCAACCAGATGAACTTTTTATTGAACAAATTAAATGCCATATTCCTGGATGTTCAACAAGGCTGTTGTTTGGTTCAGGTAATTACCATACAACTACACTAATTAAATTAAGTGTTCCAAAATAATTATGTGAGTGCAAAGTTTCTTTGCTGCACATGAGATAAATGCTAACGCACAAACTTCAGGCAAGTATGGAAAGTTTCTCGAGTGCCACTTTGAACACTAGTTACACAAATAACTATTTCCTACTGTGCATCTTTTTGTTTGGTTTTTCACTCCTGAAACAAATTATGTCATGTTTATTTCAACTTTAATTTCAAATTGGTATTATATAGACAGTATTATCATCAGATATTTATTTTGAGTCCATTTCTGTCCTTCTGGGTGGCTTTCAGAATCACCAGAATAATTTATTTTCTTGTGGCGAGACTCTTATGGAGCTACAATGATTTTTTAAATGTCAAAATTTCCCATAAACGTAAGATTTTTTTGTTCTATGACTAAATTTTGCCAGAAAAAAATGCCAGGCCTTCCAAAAATATAGTTTTTTTTCTGTTAAATATTAACAGATTTCAGTAGGGGTTAAACTTCCTTCTCACTGATACCTCTTCATAGAAAGTGATTCATACTTTGCAGTACTTCATACTTTACATCGCTATCTGCTACCAAGACAAGACTGATTTGTTGCTTCGGGCTGCGGAGACCGGCTAGAATAGTATTGGGGGAGGTAATGAATGTGTTAGTGGAAGATTTAAACACTAGGCTGTGACTGGAGTTCATAAGTGATACTTCAATTTTGCTTTTGTTTTGAATTCCAACATTTGTGTTTTGGAAAATTTTAGTGTAGTGGGGTTATTTTTTTACATACAATTTTTGTAGTTTGTACAGTCTACCTATGGTAATGTAGTAAAGAAAATTACCAAAAAGATTTTTCTCAGGGCGGATTGAGTCTTGCTGCTACCAACAGTGTGAGTCAGTTGGACAAGTTGGAACAGGAGGCGATGGAGCAATACACAGCCTCTGACACAATACTACCAACCTCACAACAGGTGAACACATTAAACCTCACTATTCAACTGACAAAACTCATTTGGTATTTAACAAATTTGTTCTTAGCATTAATAATGTATTGTGTAAAAATAGGGCTTTTTTACTTCACCAGAAATCAAAACTTTTATAAACCCAACTGAGACCAAAGTAGAAAAAAAGAAACATTTTTCTCTGGTGAGGGTGGATGACAAAAATATATAAAGACGACAAAATGCTGTAATCGAAACGGAGGACCATGTAGTTAGCTAGTACATGTAGAAAGATAATCAGTTTAATTGATTATTGTAGCCACATTTTTTATCTATTTTTAAATTTTTATTGTAGATTAATATTATGTATCCATCTCAATCATTAACAAAGGTTGCTTCATGATAAAAGCAGATTAAACCTATAACTATAACTAGATTTAACAAGATTAAAACTATAACTTAAACTAAGAATTCCGATGGTTTAATCAATATTGACCCATTTTTCAGGTTTCAGAGGAAGTGCAAAACAAAGTTGACTGTTCCTTAGAAATGGATTCTAAATATTCAGAGGACAATATTCATGTTAGTGTGGTTCCCCCATTACCACTAGGTAACTCAGATATGTAATGGTTTAACCCTTTCAGTGCTATGAAACGATATATCGTTGTTTTAAAAAATCTCTAAGGGATATAGAGAGGAAGGTTATTTTAACAAAAAATAGCAAAACGGCCATTGGTGACCTGCATGTTCATAGGATACACTATCAACCACTTAGCTAAAAGATTCGCCCAATCCGATGATTTCGAGGTGTATGTCTAAACCAAGGATTATGAACACCTCACTATGCCCCAGTGGTTGTAGTATATCGCTACAAACACACAGGTCACCAATCATTTGCCACACAGGACAGGATTCGAACCCGAGCAGACGAATGCCACTGGCCAAGTGACACACGCCCTAGCCTTCTCGGCTATCTGTGCTTGAAGACTGGGGAGTCAAAACCCGGTATTTAAGCTGTCGCCCCCGATTGCGAACAGATGGCGCTGCAGATGGTTGTTCAATGCGTTACTAGGTAGCAGCACCAGTTAGTCACGAACTATTTAGATGCAATCTTTTAGTTTAAACACAACAGTGATCATAAATGTGTTCCTGAGACTTTGCTGCAAAACATTAGTTTCCCTAAAATGGCTATATTACGATAACCTCGTCCAACTAAATCAAGGTTAAATTCAATGTTACATTGTAAACTATATGTCTTTTGATTTTATGAGATTTTGGTTTGAAATAATGCTATCAGAACATAAAAATTTATAGGAAAACCAGGAAAATTACAACAAAAACTAAGTTTTATTTAATGTTTACTACAAATAGCGGGATTTATCTTTCTTATATATTTTCTTATTGTGTTATTATTCAAAATTAGCCTAATTAATAAAATAGTGACAACATGACAGTTAAAATTCAACAACAGGTAATGGAATTAAAAGGCAAACAAAAAAGTCTTACAAAATATGAATTATTGGCCTAGCACTGAAAGGGTTAATATGATTTTTGTGTTGTATCGTGAACAAATGTCGGTTATTTATCTATTATTGTTTAGCTATTGTATGCAGAGCCGTCTTTATAAAATGCGAGGCCTGGGGCAATACATAATTGTGAGGCCTTGTTTAACCAAGCTCACCGGGGGGCCTGGGGGGTACGGGGGGGGTCCGGGGCCCCCCCCCGGAAAATTTTTGTAAAATTATACTTGTAAAGTCGTCATTTTAAGCACATTGACAAAGAAAATGAATATTTTACACTCTGAAAATGGGCGTGAATATTATTGCTAATTACACATATTATTGTTCCAATTCCAAAGTGGATATCATAAATATTGCACACGAAATTCTTTACAATCATTAATAAAAATAATTAACACTTCTCCTTTACTGTGGATTGTGAATTGAATTAACACTTTGTAAATTAAACAAAGTGGCGCGATGACAATTAATAGTAAATGCTTATAGGCTATCTTGTTTATTTATTTTTTGTCAAGTTAGGTTTATTGTGTTTTCGGCAGTTGGTCGGTGAAGGGTGTTTTAAAGGTAAAAAATATTACATAAATAATTGTCAATGAGATACTTGCAAATTCGTCATTTTAAGCATTTTGATGAAACAAATGAATCTTTTACACTCTGTAAATGGCCGTTAATATTATAGCTAATTGCACATATTATTGTTCCAATTCCAAAGTGGATATCATAAATATTGTCCACAAAGTTCTTTACAATAATTAATGAAAAAATGAACACATCTCTTCACTGTGGATTGTCGTCCCGTCACTTTGTAAATAGTAAATGCTCATAGGCTGAACTTTTTATGTACTTTTTGTCAAGATAGGTTTATTGTGTTTTCGGCAGTTGGTCTGTAATGGGGGTTTTAAAGGTAAAAAATATTACCTATAATTGTCAATGAGTTTTTAATAATAAATTAAAAGAGGTAGTATCATTACAGTGTAATTGATTCACAGTATTACTTTTTAGTTTAATGACAAATATTGTCATAGGTTTATGTTTATTGCGAAATGCGAGTAGTTTACAGTCAGTCTTATCCATGCTGATTATCCATTCAATCCAGTAAACATTTACATCTGTAAATAAATTGAACTTAATTAAATCATACAATAGAAGTTTAATGGCACCAGTACCAGTAAGAGTAAGCGTATGACTCACTCACATTCACCGGGTGGCTGCCGCGAGGCTCGGGTTCCGTCATCGCCGCCGAGCTGTCAAACGTTGTTTGATATTCTTTTGTGTTTTAAATGTCGTTCATAGGTTTTTAATCGATACAACAATTGATATAGGTTAATTCATAATAAATAAGACATATTTTAGGCACATGTATCTGTCTGTCCTTTATTTTTTTATTTTCATTCCAAAACATTAACTTATTTCTAGCGATAGTAAGGCATCGCCGGGCAGGCCTCGCCTGGCAGCGAGGCCTTCTCCGGCGCGAGGCCTGGAGCGGCCGCTCCACTCGCTCCACCCTAAGGACGGCGCTGATTGTATGGCAGTAGTATATATTATTCTATTCTATAACCTATATTGACATGGCATACAATTGTTTCTTGCATTGAACAGACTTCAGAGGTCTAGGATTTTACAGGAAAGAAATCCAATGTAACCTTCTGGAAAGTGAATCAGGTAAGCAGGGCCTCTTTAGTAAATGGGCCTGGTGTGCTCGGACCCAAAGGCACAAATGGTTTCAGGTTTCTTGGGGACGCAAGGAATAGAAAATCTTCTTTCGGGCCCATAGCATGTCACATGCAAATGCAAACCTGTAGGCCTGTAGGTAACTGCATCTTTCAGTGAGTTGGTGGCTCAGTCGGTAGCGTCACGGACTTTGGGCCCAAGGCAGCCATGTCGTGGGTTCGGATCCTGGTCACTGCCGAAAACATTTTATCAGTACAGATCACCTTTGTACTGTACTGGCTCACTCCTTGCTTTGCTGTATACGATCCACGCACGGGGGGTTAGTCTATGATGTGGACGGGCAAATGCAAGGTTAAAAGAGGCTTGGTAGCCTTCGAGCTACTGGTGCCTTTAGGAACAGTCCATCAGCAACTCTAGAGGTCACTCTTGGGCCACTACCTCTGGACATCTACATTAAAGGTGAAGCCCGCAAGACAGCTTATATCTTATGAAGGTTGCAAATCTGTGGAGGGAAGGCTTGTCTGGAACAGGCCACTGCACCATTACCAAAGCTGTGGCTGCATATCGTGTGCTTGACCTCCTGAGCACAGTAGTAGTTTTCACCAAACGCTTCACAAATTCCATTCCAGGGATAACTGGAAACATCAAGAAGGGCTTCGTCTGATACACAGACACTCTCAATAGAAAATCGGGCTTTGGTGTACATAGTCGATCACCCAGAACAGGACAGTTTGCTAGTCTGGGATGACACTGTACCATCTTCCAGGTTGAAAATTTGTTTTAAAGGTGTAAGGCGGCATAAACTTGAATGATTTCGTGAACCAGCATGATTGGACCATGGGAACGAGGTCTTACAGAACCTACAACAGTCTACAAATTTTTGTTTTATGGGGTATAAATTGGTTTTTCTCATTTTTTACCCTCAAAACATAACATTTCCCAATTTCTCTCTAAACCTTTTTCAAGAGCTTAAAAAACAAATAATTTAGTTTATCAAAGTGTTTTGTACAATTATTGGTAACAGAGAAAATTCAAAAAATTTTAAATTCCCATGTTATTCTTATGGAGAATGTTGTAGTTTGCTTGTTTATGGATATATTTGTATCAAACTTGGAAATTTGTTTTTATACTAAACTATTAATATTTTACAAAAAAACACACTTTATTAGTTTCCTTATAGGCCCTAGCAGCAAACCTAGGTATTTGTTAAACCTAATGTTATTTAAATAGATTTTTAATTGAAAATCAATTCAGAAAAGTGGAAATTCGCTTAGTCGGCAGGTTTGCTGTGACAGGTGTATTTTTTTTTTTTGTATCCAGTGACTTTTGTTAGTAGGTCCAATCGTGTTTTGTAATGTTATTATATTTTAAAATATTTAGTCGCCCCTGGAACTTTTAAAATGTAAAAAATGGTTGAAAAATTCCATTTTTAAGATTTTGTAACCTTAACAAGATTATAAAATATCTTTTCTTGTTTGAAATCTATTCTGAATCATTTTGTACATAACAAATTTTGCGTTAAACCACATGGTTTTTGTGACTTTAACTAAAAATAGAAAAAAACTACGTAATTTTCAACTTTAACCACCTCCCCCCCCCCCCCAAACACGAATGATGCACTTTTTACCATACAATACAGGGATTATATGGAACTGTTAGGAGCCAACAGATAGCTATCACTTTGGATGTTAATAAATGTTTAGGTCTAATTGCAATGTTCTAAGTTCTTTCACACTTAAAAGTGTTGTATAATTATATTCTTTAGTAGCTTGAAAGATTTAAAATTTTAAAATTGTTTTCAGGTAGTAAATCAAGTCAATGAAATAGAATCCAAGCTTGAAGCAATACATTCAAATATGCTACTCAAACGAAGAACGAAGAAAAAAATAATAAGTCTGAAAAGAAAAAGTCTAAAAAAAGAAAAACTCTAAATATATTGAGAAAAGACTGCTGGTTGAATCTAATTTAAAAAATTTTCTAGCAGAAGCTACATTAAAAGGTTTTCTGAATCTTTTGATATCTTCAACTTAATTTTTTTTAATACTTCCTGGAAATTAATTCATCTCATTGAATTTAAATCCATGTGTGTAGCCCCTGAGCTGTTGGACATATGTAAGACTAAATTACTTACGTAATTCCCGTCACAGCTCAATAAAATATGTCTATTCAGGACATGTTTCGGTGTTAAAACACCATCGTCAGCTTCATCATCTCATTGGTTCAACTGTTTTGATGTAAAACTTTTAGTACAGGCTGTTTTGTCAGCAAGTTTGTTTTTTGTGCTGAAATGGTTTGACGATTTCATGAATGCCGTTTTATCCAAACAAACTTACCTCTCTTATAGAACATAAAAACCCCAAATATCGCTCGCAAGAAGATTACATTTTTAAATCTATTACAGCATCATAAAAGAGGCTGGTACTTTAGTGAATTCCAAATCAATCAAGTTGCTTTTTGCTCCCATTCCTTTGGGTGTGAGAACCCTTGCTGTGTGTATCCTGGGTATTAAATTTAAATCATCACACAGAGACACCTTCCATATATGATAGTCACTACATGTATCGACAGAAAATAATTCAAGATAGGTACATTGATGGAGAGGACATAAAACTATAATTTTATTTTTTATCTTTATGAAACATAAAAGAATAGACACAAAATTTTACTTTATCTACCTGTACATAGTAATATGGAGAAAGTATTGTTTTCATTAAACATTTTTAGTTTGAATTTTAGGTGGATGCGTTTCGGGTCACCCTGAACCCAAAATGGGTTTCAAAATTATGTTTGTGGTTGTGTACAGAGCTACAGACCACACCTGCAGTCCGATTTTCATGAAAATTGGTACCTATGTGAGTTTAAGTACGAATCCATGGTGTTTCATGGCCTTCATGTTATTATTTAGTTAGCTAAATATATTAATATTATTTATTTATTTTATTCGAATGCTGCACGCTGCACTACAGGTTTACACTCAATTACAATGTAGCATTAGGAATACAAAAAAATACTTGACATGTATAATAAATACATAGTTCGTTAAATTGTACAATTTAAATCATTAATACATTCATAATAAGCTGCCGGCTGCGGTCTGTATGAAAATAAATAACAAACAAATGGAGGAATAATAAGCTGCCAATCTGATTACAGCGCAGATTATGTTGTTGCACAACATCGCGATATCAGTGGCAGTGGCTTGGTTTACTTCACACTGGCACTGCCACTGATTGCTGCAGGCAGGCCAGACAGCGGTGGGACACACGGGAGGGACTAAGGCTAACATATCTTGTAGTGTCAGCGTTCACCGCTAGAACTGCTAAGTTGAAATAATTTATTTTTTTTCTTAATTTTTAGTTATAAAATTAACTTTTTAACTATAAAATATTGTTTCAAATTATAAAATAAATTTTTAATTTTTAAAAATAAACTGTCATAACATAACCTAACCAACCAGACTTGCTGATAATATAAAAACTATATAAGATAAAAATTTAATTAATAATTACTTATAATGTTTAATTAATTATAAAATTAATTTTAAATTTAGTATTATAAAATTAAACTGTCATAACCTAACCTAACCAACCAAACTTGCTGATATAAAAAATTTGTTGACAAAAAGTTAATGCTGAAAGCGGGATTCGAACACGGGACCTTCTGAACACCAATCCGAAACGCTACCAACTAAGCCACGAACGCCGCTGAAATCACATCGTTTCGTTACGGTAATCGTGTCGCCTCAAGAGAAGACATTAGCCACTAGAGATATGACGTCACTACACCTTTAGCCTTAGTCCCTTCCGTGTGCCCATTCCGGCCAGACAGACCACACTGCCAGTCAGTGCTGCCTTGATCGCATTCGCCTGGCTGGCTGACGTCGTCCCCGCGCCACGGCGACGCAAATCGCAATCAATAATGGCTGTGGCTGTGGCTCGCTGCAGACAGCCGACTGAATATAGACTAGGGACTAGGTACCGAGTTTCTTCGTTACATACAGAACTGTTTCTAGGTTTCTGTTGCCTCCTAGTTTCGCTGCTTGTTGCTTGGGGAACGTTGTATTCCACCAATATTATTGTTTATACCCAATAAATAATAATAATAATATTATATTAACAATTGTAAACATTATAAAAACATGAGTACCCTTTTAACTCATTTTTATTATTATTATCAAACGACTAGTTTCAACACTTATAGTCATGTTGACTATATATTATTATATCTATACTGTATTATAATATTATATTATTATTAATTACTACATGTTTTCAGTGTTTTCTAAAATACAGATTTGTCTCGCTGATGTGTACAAACGCTGTTTAAAAATATTAGAGTAACAAATCTTTAGCCTTGCAATTTGTTTAGTTTTACCGTAAATTGGTCTATCCAACTTTTTACAATGAGTAGATGACGTAACGGTAATTAAATCTTAAAGTATTGTTATATCACATCACAAATAATATAACCAATATAATAGGTTTATCGGAAACATAATTTAAATGTTTCAAACAAAACAAAAAATAATAGAAAACGCTATGTAATTGTAATAGTAACCTATGTAAATTGAGGCTGCTTAAATAAAAAAAATAGCAATGTGCCTATATACTGATAGAATAAATAAAAAATATAAACTGTAAGATTTTAGGTGTCTAAACTTTGAAATTGGAATTAGCAATTTTATAAATCTTTGCACAAATTGTTGTATCGTAGTAAAAATCCCAAAAATAACAAACACTGTAAAAGTAAAAATATATCTAATTGAACTATACAATTACAAATACAGTATCCTAATATCAGAATGAATGAAAAATATAAATGGTAATATTTGCAGCTAGGTTATTTTAAAAATTGCATTTTTTCTTTCTTGTCGTAATTATAGCTCAAGACTTGAGTAGGGAAGGAATATAATAAATACAAGTAAATTTTGTTTAAATTACGCATTATATTTATTTATAATCATCCGACTTGAGGTTTCCACTGGGCACTGTCTACAAAAATGTGTTTTAATGCATAAACAGAAAAAAAATTTTAAATGAAAACTGCATCGGTCTCCAGATTTAAAAATATAGATTCAACTTTATACCCCATGTGTAGAGAAGTGTGTAGATGTGGTGAATTCTATAATACCAATCATATCAGTGCCAAAAGCTTAAAATCCAGTCACATTCTACACAAACTGATTTAATTAATATTACTCCATAAAATATACACCTATCTCCCTTCAAGAAGCAACTTCTCAGTAGTGCTGTACTGGCAAAAGATGGAATGGCAAAAATATCAGTGAGTCCATACACTGAGTTGTGCAATAGCAATGGCACTAACAGCGCCAGCTGATTGGGTAATCTCTTGTTTGCTGTCTGTCCTCAGTATTTATAAACAAAGAAAGGGAGGACGGGGCGGGGAATCAGAGGACGCCACCCCTCCATTACCCCCACCACCGCCCAGGGTTGCTGTCATCTGTTGCTAGGCGCTAGTGACCTTGTTCTTGTTCCCCTTCCACTACACGTCAATACCCGTGCCGTCCGCAGTCAGACCCACGCCCGAGTTCCCGGTATCCCTGATTATCATAGGGAGTTTTTGTCTCGCGCCTGTTTCCGGTTGGCTCGGCTCGGCATCCGGTTTCAGTGAGCACATGGCCTCGAGCACTTCAGGTCAGTTTCAGCGTTGCTTATCAATTTGTTGTTGCACTGTAATGACTTGCTGTTGATTGCCCCTTAGTTGATGATATGCATTTATGAATATGTATATACAATTATAGATATTATTAGTACATGTTTATATGATAATTTGATTTATAATTACGATACAATATTTTTATCGTTTGTATTTGCGCCTTCATAGAAATATTGTTTTAAATCACTATCAGACTATTATTGTAGGCACTATTGAACTATTGAGCACACTGATTGTATTTAAAAGCAATGAGCCAATCAACACATATCAGAGTTATGAAATGATTTATCTATTGTTGTTTTGGTTTATGCCTGATCGCAGTAATAAACATTGTCTTTAAATTACGAACACTAAGAATGCAAAGGAAATTTATTAACACAAAATCACAATTTCACACATCTACATTATTTTCAGTTATCTGTAGGGTATTTATAGATTACATATACTATTTGCGTTTTAGTAAGCTACATTCTACAGTGTAAATTATATTCAGGGATACTAACAACTTGTATGTATTTTACTAAAATGGTTGATTAATCAACAATTCACGTCGAGTAATCATTATTCAGTTCAGTGTACATCAGTACAGTTGTTTGTTGTTTGTTTCAACAACCAAGTGAAACAACTAACAACTGACGTGGCCTGTCAATGATTAATTGCGCAATGGTGGGAGGGGGAGAGTGGGGCAGCCCAGATGGTTGCATGGTTTGGCAACACTGCAGCGCGGCGACGCGATGTTGCCGCGTAGCCTGTCTGTTCCGTTCTGTTGCCTCCTTTCTCCTTCCCGCTTTGTCATCCTCGTTCTGTACTGCAGAGCTGCTACGCTGTTCCGTTTTCTGCCGCTCTGCTCGCGTCCTCGTTTCTACAAACCAGTTGGCAGTTGCGTCCTCTGCCAACTTCTTTAGTCCTTGGTTGTTTAGTTGTTTCTCTTCCATGAATAACGTAATTGGATTTCAGAGTTTAGTCTCTCATTTTGTGAAACTATAAACATTAAACTGTTTAATACTGTAATTAAACGAACTTAGTTATTTAGTAAGACATTTTGTTTTATTTGTTGAGTGATATTATTCAGTGCGTCGTTAACGTTTTTAGTATATCCTCAGAGTAATATCGGATGATGAAATACTTCTTTCTCATTATTTACGATCATATACAGTAATTTATATTAATATTGAGTAGTAACAGTAGCGTTCTCAATTCATTCATTTTGAAAATTGAAATAAATGTGAATAATAATTTTTTATTATTAATAATGTTTCTAAGAGAAGTCTGTTCTTTTGATATGACTTTAAAATATGAGAGTTTAAATTTTAACATAAACTAGATAAACATTTT